TGTCTATATATATATATAATTTTTTACAAGAAACCAGATACACCCTCCCCCCAAAACAATCCACACTGTATGAATTCCATTTGTATAAAATTGTACAAAATGAAAACTAATCTATAGTGACAAGATCAGTTGTTGCTTGAAAATCAGGGTTGCTGGATCATGGAGAGGGGCAGGAGGGAGAGACTGTAAAGGGGCATGAGGAAATGTGGGGCCATGAGGCATATGTTCATTATCTGGATTGTGGTAATGGTTTCACAGGTGTATACATATGTCAAAACTTATTAAGTTGTACACTCTATATGCACTTTATTGTAGGTCAATTATACCTCAATAAAGCTGTAAAAACATATCATCACAAAATGATCTTTAGGTGACTTCCAACCGACTTCCAACTTCATTTTTTTTTTCATGATTCCTCTTTGATCCCTTTACCAAACTCCTTTGAAGAAACATTATTAGCCCCGAGCAAATATCCTTTTGTTCTTAAAAGGCACCAATCCTGGTTTCTCCGACAGAAAATACGAGAAGAGTGTTGGAAGTAACCCCCTTCATCATTATTAAGGATTAGTTCCTTACTTCTCTTCTCCCACGTTCACCAAAATCTTACTGGGATCAAATGTCCTGAAAAAAGACCTTTATTCCCTGTTTGAGGCATAAAGAAGAAAAATCAAAAACTTTTCCCAGCAACTTCCAATCTTGTGATATAAATGAAGACCAAGATTTTAAGAGTTGCCTGGCTCCTCTGGGGCTCACCTGGTTATTAATGATTCTGCTCTGTGCAAAAAGGGGGTCTTGGGGTGCCAGGGTGGCTCAGTGGATGAAGCCTCTGCTTTTGGCTCAGGTCATGATCTCGGGATCGAGCCCCGCATCAGGCTCTCTGCTCAGCGGGGAGCCTGCTTCCCCACCTATCTCTGCCTGATGCTCTGCCTACTTGTGATCTCTCTCTCTCTCTCTCTCTCTGTCAAATAAATAAAAATTAAAAATAAAAAAACTTCAAAAAATCTTTGAAAAGGGGTCTTTTTTCACCTTGGACTGGCTCTCTCACCAACAAGAAGCTTGGTAAGAGGACTAAACAAACAGCAGTCCAGAGATAGGGAGAGGTGGGTGACTGGGGTGGGAGTACTTTTTTTATCCTACTACAACCCACGACTGCAAAATGAACTGGCCCAATTTTAAAGTATTTGCGATTTCTGACCATTGGTCTACATTCCTGAAAGGTTACATATGAGATAAATGTGGTAACTCTGTGTGTGTGTGCGTTTTGAAGTTGAATCATTATTTTCTCATTCATTTACTATAATGAAACAGATCTTCTTGGGATCACTTGAATTCTTTTTTTTTTTTTTTTACTTTTTTTTTAAGATTTTATTTTTTATTTATTTATTTGACAGAGAGAGAGAGATCAAAAGTAGGCAGAGAGGCAGGCAGAGAGGAGGGGGGAAGCAGGGTCCCTGCTGAGCAGGGAGCCCAATGTGGGGCTCAATCCCAGGACCCTGAGATCATGACCTGAGCTGAAGGCAGAGGCTTAACCCACTGAGCCACCCAGGCGCCCCAGGATCACTTGAATTCTGCTTTGCAATTTACACACTCTGTGCTCTAGGGCAGTCCCTTGACTTCTCTAAGCTTCAACTTCCTCCTCTAGAAGGGAGTTGAACTCAAAGGGCTGACCTCAAGATTATATAAAATGAGAACGGGGTAGGGCCTGATACGTGAAAGCATTCGATAATGCTTTATGAAATTTGTATTGTAAATAAATATCTGTTGAAGCCACATTTCAGAGGCCCTTATCTTTCCTTCTGATAAGCGTTCATTTGGTTATTACTCAATACCACATAACTTTAAGCTTATCCTTCTCTCACCTTCTGTCACATTAATATTGTGAATCTACAAACAGACAAGAACACATTACGGGAATTTGCTATTTAAAACAGCAACAGCTAACGTTATTGAACACTTAAAATGTGCCAAACATTGTGTGTACTTTTTTTTCTTGAAGCATTGGTGACATACAATGTTATATTAGTTTCAGGTGCACGACACAGTGATTTGACAATTCTGTATGTTGCTCAGTGCTCACTGTGATAAGTGTACCCACCATCTGTCACCATACAACATTATAACAGTATTATGGACCATGTTCCCTATGCTGTACTTTTCATCTCCATGACCTAATTATTTTATAACTGGAAGTTCATACCTCTTAATCCCTTTCACCTATTTCGCCTGTCCTCCCACCCACCTCCCTTCTGGAAAGCACCAGTTTGTTCTCTGTATTTGAGAGTCTGGCTTTTTGTTTGTTTGATCATTTGTTTTGTTGTTCAGATTCCACATATAAGTGAAATCTTATGGCATTTATCTTTCTCTGTCTGACTTATTTCACTTACCATAATACCCACCAGGTCCATCCACGTTGTCACAAGTGGTGAAACTTCATTGTTTTAAGATTTTATTTGTCAGAGAGAGAGAGAGCACAAGCAGAAGGAGCAGCAAAGGCAGAGGGAGAAGCAGGCTCTCCACTGAGCAAGAAGCCCAATGTGGGGCTCGATCCCAGGACTGTGGATCATGATCTTAGTCGAAGACAGAAACTTAACCAACTGAGCCACCCAGGCGTCCGGAACCTTCATTCTTTTTTAAAGGCTGAGTAATTGTCCATTGCATATATATACGCACCACATCTTCTTTATCCATTCATCTGTCAGTGGACACTTGGGCTGCTTCCATATCATGGCTATTGCAAATAATGCTTTGATAAACATAGAGGTGCCTGTATCTTTTCAAATTAGTGTTTTCCTTTTCTCTGGGTAAATTCCCAGTAGTGGAATTACTGGATCATAAGGTATTTCTACTTTTAATTTTTTGAGAAAACTGCATACTGCTTTCCACAATGGTCATGCCAATTTGCATTCCTACGAGCAGTGCAAGAGGGTTCCCTTCTCACCACAACTTGGCCAGCACCTGGTATGTCTTGTCTTTTTGAGGCCAGCCGTTCTGACAAGTGTGAGGTGTTATCGCATTGTGTGTGTGTGTGTGTGTGTGTGTGTGTGTGTGTGTGCACGCGCGTGTGTGCCTTCCTTGATCTGCCATTTATTGCTTGCAAAAATCCTAGAAGGGTCGTACTATTATTACCCCCATTCTACAGATGAAGAAACTGAGGCACAGACAGATAAATCATTTTGCAAGGTCATACAGTTAATAAGAGGCGCGGGTTGGGGTGAAAGGGCAGGATGTGAACCCAGGCAGTCTGACAGTGGAGTATCTTCACTCAACCACTTAAAAGAAATCATCCCAGGGTTATCTGCTTGATAATGCTGGATATTGTCGGAAAAATCACAGGAGCCTTAAGAGAGGGATTTTCAGAAATGCTAGATCATCTCCTGAAGTTCCTCCCCAGCCTCTAGGCAACGCCGCCATTGAACAACCCAGGCCTGGCAGAAAGCTTCCTGGGAACAGAATCCCACAACTTCTACTCATAGTTCATTCCAAAGTTTAACAGTCAGGAAATTCTTAAATTACAACTAACTCAAATCCTTTATGCTACAGGCTAAGCCCCATTCCTTGGGTTGATAAACCCCAATATTTCCATTTCTCTGACTCATTCACTCGACTACGAAATTAAGCGTGCCCAGCTGAATTACATACTGAACGCGGAGACAAAAAGCTCTTAGGTGTCGACAGGATCAATCCGAAGACTGGCCAGCTGGGAGGAGGGGGGATTTGAAGAGACAGGGTGGGGAGACAAGAGCCCTCATTGACAGAGATGGGCACACAGAGCCCAGGCAGCCCACCTGTAGCCTTAACCATACAATGCTTAACATCCCAACACAGACTCACCCAGAACAAACCCAGGCTGAGTTCCAAGCAGAGATGCCTGGAAAACCTACGCTTTCCTTTCCCTGTGTCCTGAATCTGTCCACCACCACCATCTTGCCGCCATCTCTGTGTAAAATCTTTTCATTGACTGAGCACTGCAATCAAGTGGACTCTCTCTCTGCTGCAAACAAAATAACTTCAGTGGCTGAATTAGAAATGTCCTAATGTGATGCTGCTGAACCGCCAAGGCAGCGGACGACGGGATGCCCTCAGACTAGGACACAGAGACCTAGATCCTGCTCCCGGAGCCACTGCGCCTTCAGTCCGCATTTACCGAGCACCTACGTACGGGAAGTGCAGACGCGGTCCCCGCCCTCAAGGAAATCTACAGCCCAGCCTGGGGGAGACCGCACGCAACAGCCAGCCCTGTGGACTGCGGACAGGTGTTACAAAGGCAGTTAAGCTCCAGATGTTAAGGAAGCGTCGAGGGGACTGTCATCCACCGCGACCCTTGCACTGCACTGAGCTCAAGATTCTGTTCACTAAAACGGTGATAATAAGTCCTTCTTAAGCTGCTGGATGGTGCTCTGGGGGTCTCAAAGACCAAGGCTCCTGGAAAGGTATAAAGGGCAATTCAAAATAGGGACTGTGTGTGATGAACGACGTAGTGGGGCTAATCCACGCTTGAAAAGATGTGCTCCGTTCAGCGGCGCTATAGGCAAGCGCGAGCAGAGGGCAACAGCGGTTGCTACTCGCGGGTACCTGCTCGGAAAAACAACACACTTGACCCAATGAGGGCGGAGGAGGGAACCCAGAGCAAATTCCAAAGTTAGAATCTCGGAAAGAGACACCCTCCGGCACTCAGCACCCGTGGCCACGAGCGTCCTCCCCCGCGTCACTCTCCAAGCACTCGACACCGGTCCCCAACCTGGAAACTCTAAACCGAGGTCTTGACGGGCCGGACCGAGGGGCGGGCGCCCTCTGGCGACCAAGCGCAGACTCTGACAGCTCGGAGGGCGGGGGCGGGGCTGACGACCTAAGGAAGGGGTGTTCTTCTCGCGTGAACTAATGGCGTCATCAAAGCGACGGGCCCGGAAGGAAGTAGCGTGTGGAGGGCGTGGCGGTTTCTACGGTTGCACGGGGGGTTCGGAAGAGTACGGAACGCCTGGAGGGACAGCTTGGTACGCGGCCCCCGCCTCTTAGTGTGCGCACTGGGCCTAGTTGCGGCTCCGGGCCGAAGCTCGTCAGCCGTTCTCCGGGGCCCCAGCTCCAGCAGCCTCTCTCCCTCAGGAGCGAGAAAGCAACCCCTTTCTGTTCCGTCCCTTCCCCGCGAGCCCCAGGGCGCTAGGGACGCGCGACCCTCTCTCCGAAGAGGGCAGGGAAGGGGCGCGGGTTGGGGGCGGGGGGGGGCGTTTGCAGAAAGGACGCAGCTGCAGATCGGTAGCTGGAGTCCGCCACGGTAAAATAAGCGCCTCGTAGACGACTGAGCCCGAGCTATGTTAGCCCCGGGAGGCAGAATCCACGCCCTGCGCGGGTGGGCCCAGGCACGCCTGACTGTGAACTTTGCTGTCAACCATCGTTTTTCCAGAGCCTTCAGTGTTTAGGAAATGAGTCTCTAGATGCCAGCTCTTTCTTATCCTGGTGCTTGAACGCAGTTGGACCCAGGATCCTAGTCAGCCCACCCTGGGAAACCCTCTTTCTCCTCTAACCATGGGCTTGGGGACCTGTCAGGTGCAAAGTGCCAGGCAGGTGTGTGGGAGGGTGTATTCAGAGCCCTCCCCGGTTTAGACCCAAAGGAATAATTGGGAAGATGGACGAAAGGCCAGAGAATCCCATCATGTGAACTCTGCTCACATGCTGACTCTGTCGCTCCAGCATCTGAAAGGAGTAAATAATGGTTTCCTTTGAAATGGCAGGCAATTAGGACTGGGAGGCTCTGACCAGAATTACATAGCCACAACTGCCTGTCATTTGACATCCTCTGTAATTTGGGCAACATACTGCAGCTGCCTCTCTTCCCTTTTACTAGCATGAGTGACTCCAGTGACAGCACATTCGTGTTCACAGGAAGAGAAGGCTGTGTTCTGAACGCTGCCCAACTGGCACTGGTTCTCTCTTAGGGCCCCGCTGTATCTGGAGCCACTGTCTCCTGGGGGAGGTAGGGAATATGATCCCACAGCTGGGGGAGGAGTGGGAATGTTGCCTGAGAATAGGATGAAGAGTGTTGGACATGTAGCCTTAGTACAACAGGCTAGCCATAGTACATCTAGCCATAGTACATCTAGCCTTGGTACAACAGGCTGGGCCTGAGCCACTTCAGGGAGCTCAGCTTTGTGAGGTGCTCTCCCCATTGTAACTTTTCTCCTGCGTGTTGGACCACACACGTTTTCCTGCGTCTTTTTCCCTAGGATACAGGTTCGCTGATGGCTCAGTTGGGAGCAGTTGTGGCTGTGGCTACCAGTTTCTTTTGTGCATCTCTCTTCTCAGCTGTGCACAAGATAGAAGAGGGACATATTGGGGTGTATTACAGGTAAGGAAGAGACAGAAGCTTGCAACTGCCTGTTAAATGTCTCTTTCCTAGTCACTGTCTAGCAGATTCTGTTGATTATCTGTGTTGAATAAAGGAGTCTTTTTAGATGGAGCTGTGGTGTCAGTGACCATGAAGGGGACATATACACACATTCTTATATGCATATATAAGTGTGAATATAAAACTTAATTGTCTTAAGTCGATGCCATGGGTGGTGGACAATAAATGTGTCTAGAGATTTAGAGACAAAATCTAAAGGAAACCAGCGCTTGCAGATCCTCTCTGAAACATTGTTTTCTCCTACATCCCTCCCCGGAATCTTGGTGCCACAAGGTTACCTCCCATAAGCACCAGTTCTTGATGGAAACTTGAGGAGCTAGCCTGCTCTGCTCATTTATACCCACTCTTGAAAATTACCATTTCAGGAAAAAGGAATCCTTCAGACTGATCTATATCAATCAAGGCAAGCCCAAGAGTAGTGATTCTTAGAAGAAAGAGGAGCCCGTTGCATCTCTATTGCTGGTTTTTTGGGGTTCGTTTTTTTGGGGGGGTGGAATAAATGTATTTTTTCCTTCGTAATGCAAAGCAAAGAAGCACTTATAAATCTTGGGTTGCTTTCCTCTCAGTAACCTCCATGACCCAAGTTTTTTGCTTTAAGCCGTTATGAACTCCTTATATGTGCCCAAGATGCTTATTCCTGGATTGCCAATAGCAAGTTCTAAAAGTTTCATTGGGCTCCATTCTCCCCTTTATTTCTCCCCACCTGCTGCTCATATGTGCCCAAAAAAAAAGGCTTTTAATTTTGTTACCATTTACATATAACTTGGTTCTGAAGGTCACCCTACTGCCCAAAAAAGGTATGCAGGTGATTTTTAAAGCGTTCTTAAAATTACTCTTTTGGTTGTTCGTGTCCCTTGACTCCAGTATTTGTGCAGTTAGTCGGTAAATGTATTACTGGACTTAACTGCACCCCCCAAGGATTGCCACAAACTCAATGGGTATGACCAAGTAAAATAGACTTCCCCTTCTGTTAAGGATTGCCAGGGATCCTGCTGTCTTCATTCCACTTGGCCCATGTGCCTATTTTTCCTGCCTCGAAAGCATGAATAACGGTTTTATGTTTTACCATCAGGCTTCCTAGAATGTTAGGGTTGAGCTGAGAGGAAGGGGTCTATGGACATGGCTCGGGCACATGTCACTTTATGAGATGTTTATGGGGGCGTAGAGAAGGTGGGTGCAAATAGTAATGGCTGTCATTGCTAGCTCTTGCTAAACCTCCTCTCTCTCCTCTGCAGAGGCGGAGCCCTTCTGACTTCGACCAGCGGCCCGGGTTTCCATCTCATGCTTCCTTTCATCACATCGTATAAGTCGGTGCAGGTGAACTGGGCTTGTGGGGCATGTTTGGGCCTCTGCAGGTTTGGAGTGTTGGCAAACAAATGATTTGGAATTATTTCCCATTAGATGAGTAAATGCCTCTTCAAGGAATGTATATATGTAATGTATCGTGTATATAGAGAGAATGAGGCCCCATGAACCGCACATACTCTGGAGCTTTATTTGATTGTTGAAATGGCTAAATGGGGACATTGCCTTGACCCATCGGCCCCAGCTGGGAATTATTTCTTCACTTCAAGGTAGAGCCAGAGAAGAATGTTCTGAAGATAAAGAAGGAAAAGTAGGATGTGTGGGTCTGTGTGTTTTCAGTCACAGGTTACCTAGATAAATGGAAATAAAACATGGTAATTTTGCTGGTTCTTACTTGAACTTCATAGATGTGAACATAATTTGAGGGGTGGGGGGAGAGGAAAGTTGGAGTTGGTGAGGTGGGATGACATCTAAAGGAAGAGTAGGATTAATTATAACAGAAGGCCTGGCTCAGATAGACTAGCCATCTTTGAAGTATGTCCAGCTAAGAGGGATAAGAAGATGTAGAGGATGATTTTTGAACCGACTCAGGAAAATATCCTGGGACACCAGCATTCTCCCTGTTCATTTCTTCTGCCATCCCCAGTGCTCGATGGTTTTCAGAGTGCACTTGTGCCCAGGATCTTAGGAGTCTCACAGTAATGCTGGGAAGGGGCTGAGCCAAGTTAAATACAGAATCCTCTAATTTCAAAACTAGTGAAAGGAGGACAGTAGAGATAAAGACGATCTTAGGACTCTTAATCCAAGTTCTTTTTTTTTTTTTTAAACTAAACCATTATTACACAGCTAGTACATATGGTGATTCACTTACAGTGAAGCTGGAGTAGATACCTTTGTTGCTCTGAGTCAGGCACCCTGTGTAAATAAAGAGGATTAGACAGAGTATTATTGTTTAACAATGCCAAAGGTCAACCCAGATAACCTCAAGGACCAGGCGATTGGGATTCCAAAACTAAGTTACTTTACTCCTCATGGCCCATTTTACAGCCATTTTATGTCTCCTCTGTTTCTAGACCACACTGCAGACAGATGAGGTGAAAAATGTGCCTTGCGGGACTAGGTAAGCTGCCGGGGGTGAAGGGGGTAAGCCTATTTCGGCGGAAGGGCTGGCTGTTAGCTCTCTGTTAGAGACAGTGAAAGGAGAAGCATTCCTTCTCGGTGGTCTTACCAAATTCCCTGCCTCCTTGCTCCCTTGGTTCCAATTTGACGAGGACATGCGGTGCCATAGGGAAAATCACAGAAGGTAGGCAGGTTCAGGAGGACCTTGAATTCTGTGCTGAGTGTGGGCTTTTTCCATTATAAGTGAAGATCCACTAAAAGCTTTTAGCAGATAAATGACTTGATAGCTGGGGAATGTTGTAAAGGTAAGGGCTGACCTCAGGGTCTAGAAATCCAAACAGAACACCATTCCAGGGGTCTGGGTGACAGGTAAAGAAGGTCCAAATTGGAATAGGATCACAAACCACCACCACAAGGAAACATTCAGGCAAATCCAGAATTAGGGCATCTCACGGGACAGCTGACCTGGTGGCATCACAGAGAAGAGCTTTGCGTTGGAAAGCAGACCTAAAAGACATAAACAAAAGCATGGTGAGCCTTAATTAGATCTTGGTTCAAAAATACCATCTATGAAAGACCGGGGGACTGGATGAGTCAGCTCGGGCAGCCATAAGAGAGGGCCACAGACTAAATGTAAACAGAGTCCAAGGTGCCAGCAGGCTTCGTCTTCGGTGAAGCCTCTTTTCCTCGCTTGCAGATGGCAACTTTGCAGTGTCCTCACGTGGCCTTTCCTGGGTGCACACAGGCAGAAAACCTCTGGTGTCTGCCTCTTTTCCTTTACCAGTCCAGTCGGGTTGGGGACCTACCCCTATGACTTCATGGAGTCTTAATTACCACCTTATGGCCCTGTCTCACTCAACACAGTGACAGGGGGCGTTTAAGAGTTTGAGCAGGGGCGCCTGGGTGGCTCAGTGGGTTAAAGCCTCTGTCTTCAGCTCGGGTCATGATCCCAGTGTCCTGGGATCGAGCCCCGCATCGGGCTCTCTGCTCAGCGGGGAGCCTGCTTCCTACTCTCTCTCTGCCTGCCTCTCTGCCTACTTATGATCTGTCTGTCAAATAAATAAATAAAATCTTAAAAAAAAAAAGAGAGTTTCAGCAAATGGACCTATGGAGGGCACACAGTTCAGTCCCTAACAGGAACAACAGGAAACTGGAATAAGGATCTGGTATTAGAGGCCGTTGAGAAATTATTATTAATTTTCTTAGATTTGGGACCTAGAAGGATGTCATTATACCTCAGTGCATGTTGCTCACTAACATGTGAAGGGAGAAAGAGTATCATGACGGCAACTCACTTTGAAATGTTCAACATAAAAAGCAGAGCAATCTGTAAGGTAAAATGTTAGCAATTGCTAAATGTAGGTGTTCATGTATGCATGTGAGTTGTATTGTTCTTTCAGCGTTTCTGTATGCTTAAAATTATTTATTATGAATATGTGCCAGGAGAGGGAAGTGCTGAACCAAAGTGAAGGTGAAGACAAAGGGAGAAACAGTGACCATAAAGTCCCACGGTGGCCTTCTAAATGCTGAGAAATCCTTCACTTTTCTTTTCCCATCGATGGATTGCTTTAATCAAAAGGCATTGCAGATTCAGCAGATACGAACTGTCCTTTTCCTAGTGGCACCCAGAAGTTTCACTTTTCTCCTTATGGAGATACTTTGAGGAGATGTGGTTTCTCAGGAGATGGTGTTCTTGCTCTAAGCTTGGAAGATTCCTACTTGGAGATCGCATACCTTCTGGCCTCTCGTGAACTCCTCTGCTCCTTTTCTGCCAGGTCACACACCTGATGCCATCACCTAGAGACGGCACTCTGTTCCAGAGCCTACTGGTGACTTCTTTCTTCCTTCTTCCCCCAACAGTGGTGGTGTGATGATCTACTTTGACCGAATTGAAGTGGTGAACTTCTTGGTCCCAAATGCAGGTATGTTTTTCCAGTTGACCTTCACCACTGACTTGCTTTGCCCAGCATGTCCCCCCCCCATCCGCACGGCCATCCCGCGTCTGTCTCAGCACCTCAGGCGGGGAGAGCCGCTGTGTCTGAGAAGGGGAGTCCTGCCTTTTCTGACTGCATTCCCACCTTCCCTCCCAGTGTATGACATTGTGAAGAACTACACTGCTGACTACGACAAGGCCCTCATCTTCAATAAGATCCACCACGAGCTAAACCAGTTCTGCAGTGTGCACACCCTTCAGGAGGTCTACATAGAGCTCTTCGGTAAGAAAGCCTCTGCTGGCCGTAGCATGCTTCCACCGCTGTTCCCCCCCCACCGCCTACTTCTGAGCTACCGTAGGGGAGGATGGGTTCGCAGGAACAGGAAGTGTCAAAGAACCCAGTGCCCGCGAACTGGTCCCAAGCAGAACTTCTAGAAAATGTTGATGACAGTGGCAGAAGGTCATGAAAGCCGGTGAGCCTTGCGCACAGGCGTACGGTGGACTAGAGGACTCCTGGCCCGAATCGGAGGACTGGAAGGCAGAGCATTCCGACTATCCCTAAAACAGCCTTCTGTAATGAAGACCGAGTCCATTCTAGAAGAACCTTAGAGATTATCCACCCCAAAAACCTCATTTTCAGATGAGGGGACTAAGGCTCAAAGAGAAAGTTTTAGAACTATTTCTTAGCAGAGCTGAAGGTAGACCCTCCCTCTCCTGGCTCTCGCTTCAGAGTGCTTCTCCGTCCGCCACACTGAAAGAAGGGCCTCCAGGAGAGGTGAGGAGGACAGTAGGGTTCACACTTAATTCTAGAAGTGGGACAAGGACCATAGCTGCTTAAAGTTCCTAGTTTCTTTAAGCCTGCATGCGTAGAGATGAATAGGAAAACACTTAAAAGAATCCACATGCTTAAGTACACACTTTTTGACCTTTTTAACCAGTCAAAGTAAACATAGCCTGACTTTAGCAACAAGAGAAAGAAACAGTTCAGTAATTGTTCGAGCTCTTTTGTGGTTAAGTGTTCTGTTGAAGCTTGCTGCCAGAAGTTTTCTAGTTTTCTAGTGACCAGTGCTGATAGTACAACTATTCCTGATACTAGGACTGGACAATGTCTCTTCCTAGGAATCTTCATTAAAAAGGACCCTGATAGAATGTTTCGCAGAGTAGATAGGAGCGGGGAGGGACCCCTGGTGCTGCCTGTGAGCTCAGTGAGAGAGCCCGTTGCACACATTTCTGATTCGGGAAATCTTCAGAATCACTTCTAATTTCTCTGCAGTAGAAAATAAATCTAAATTCACTTTACAGGGTTTGAATTCAGTATGCTTTAAAGAAAAATTCTGTGAATTTGCTATTATTAGTTTTTTTGTTTTTTGTTTTTTTTTGTTTTTAACTTCAAACTGAGAGCACTTTATAAAATAGCATTAGTTTTCTCAGGGTGCCCGGGTGGCTCAGTCATTAAACGTCTGCCTTTGGCTCAGGTCATGATCCCAGGGTCCCGGGATTGTTCCCCACATTGGGCTCCCTGCTCGGCAGAAAGCCTGCTTCTCCCTCTCCTACAACCTCCTGCTTGTGTTCTCTCACTGTGTCTCTCTGTCAAGTAAAGAAATAAAATCTTAAAAAAAAAAAAAAAAAGCATTTATTTTCTCTCTGGCCCTGGTTTTAGAACTTGTGCCATTAAAAGAACACTTTAAAGCATTTGAAACAACAAGAGACAAAGAACTGTAACTTCCATGAAGAGAAAATGAAAATATGAAATTGTTTTGCAATAGAAAACTTCTTACTGTCTGGGCACCTGGCAGGCTCAGTAGGTGGAGCACACAACTCTTGATCTCGGGATCGTGGGTTCAAGCCCCACGTTGGATGTAGAGATTACTTAAAAATGAAATCTTTAAAAAAGAAAAGAAAAAAAAAAAAAGGAAACTTCATATTGCCCAAGAGATAAACTTAGTAGCTTAGTGAAACTTCTTGTACAGTGAAGCTGGGAAAATGTAATTTCTTTGAAATTTTCTTTCTTTTTAAAGTTACATCTTTTGAGCAAAAACACTGCCTTGCTTAGAACCTATTTGTGTCTGTAAAGGAGGAATTCATGTCTCTAATCCCATTCCTAGAACGTGGGAGGTTTTCCACTAGCTGTGTCTGTCCTCTCAGGACTCATGGCCCTGACTTCCCTCCCACCTGACTCTGTAATTCTCATCCCTGCTTATGCTGATGCCTCCTCTATGCCTGTCTTATAAAAACACTACATAGTTCTTATTCAGCAATGACCCGTGGCAATCTCTTTGTGTAATGTAACCTAATCTGCATTTATTTGCATGACTATAATGTATAAACAACTTATTACCAATATTACTTTTATAATAAACCACCTGACAAAATATTTCTTTTTTTTTTAAGATTTTATTTATTTATTTGACAGAGAGATCACAAGTAGGCAGAGAGGCAGACAGAGGGGGTGGGGGAAGCAGGCTCCCTGCTGAGCAGAGAGCCCAATGTAGGGCTCGATCCCAGGACCCTGAGATCATGACCTAAGCCGAAGGCAGAGGATTAATCCACTGAGCCACCCAGGTGCCCTGTGGCAAAATATTTCTTCCAGATTTTCCTGGAAAATTATGAGCCCAGGACCATGGTTGTCAGCTTTAAGTCAGATATAATTTGGTCTAATAAATGACTATTTATTATTAACTTAGGGAGGGCACAGAACATCTCAAAGTTTGGTTGGTATCCTATTAAGAAAGAAAATATAAAATGTGATGTTTATCCATGGCTGTCAAGTTAAACACATACCAGATCTGAGGTTCTGCCTTCTGGGGCATTTCTCCCTCGTGCTGAGAGGCTTGTGAGAGCATATCCAGTGTGTGGGAACGTTAAAATCTCTTGCTTACTGATTAGACAGTTGAAGATAGTACTGTTTTAAAGCATAAAACAGCCCTAAAAATTAAAGCATAGTAATTGAACAAATGTATGATTTTGGTTCCTAACTAGCATGAACACATTACTGAACTTCTGTGGACCTCAGTCTGGTCTGGGCATCTGTTAAAGGCAGGGAGTTCCACTTGCCATTCCTCAGAGGCCCCTGTTTCGGGCACTAGTGACCAAAAACGGCCACTTAAAGCGGGTGGCAGCTGATAGGGAGGTGATTCAATTCGGATGTCCTAACCTGGTTCTGTGGAGTCTTCTCAGCACCGTCCAAGGTCTCACCGAGGATCTCCCGGTCAGGGCTCAGGAAGAGAAGGCCCGGCCAGAGAGGGCAGCTGTGGGGGCTGTAGAATCCCAGCCACAAGGAGGGGGGCTGGGGGGGTTGTCAGAGCTCTTCCTGCACTTGCCTATAAAACCGCTCCCCTGTGAATTCCACACAGAGCAATCAGGGCCAAAGCAAACGACTATCAAAAGACTCGGGCTCATTTCCAGAACCATAAATTTTCATTTTCCCCACTGTGTTCTTTGATGGAGTTCTTAATGGAAATAGTCTTCCTTGGGGCTTTCGTTGACGTCAGAGTCTATTTTTCTTTTAGAAACTTCTCAAATGACTGGATTTCAATGGCTTGGCTCTCTTCGAAATACCTAACATAACCACTCCATCTTCCTTCCTCTTGAAAACAGGCTGCCTGGCTTCTCTTTAGCTGCTATTGTCTAGGAAAAGGCTGCCGCCCGACTCAAGAAATGTGCAAGACTTGTTTGTCCTTTTTCTTATTAAAGCTCAGTTTCCTTTTGGGCAAGGTTGCTATTTTCTTTTTTTAAGTTTTTTTTTTTTAATTTGACAGATCACAAGTAGGCAGAGCAGCAGGCAGAGAGGGGGAGGGGAAGCAGGCTCCCTGCTCAATCCTAGGACCCTGAGATCATGACCTGAGCCGAAGGCAGAGGCTTAACCCACTGAGCCACGCAGATGCCCCTAGGTTGCTATTTTCTACAGCCTCGGTGATTTTATGTGGAGGCCACAGGAAAAGGATGCTCTCACATCCAGCTTGCATAAAGCGGCTGCAGAGGCATGTTGCTTTGAAAGATGTGCCAAGGATCTTCAGATTTCTGGGCTCTGATAAGCCCTCTGCCTTGGAAAGCCCTTTGGCCTGTAGGGTGCATTCTTGAGCTGGTGTTGTAGTTTGTCCTCTACCCCCATGCTTTCCTCCACCCTGCCTACAGTGTAACAACAACTCTTGCCATCTTTCTTGATTCCAGATCAGATTGACGAAAACCTCAAGCTGGCTTTACAACAGGACCTGACCTCCATGGCCCCTGGGCTTGTCATCCAAGTAAGCAGGGCCACAATAGGAGCCTGCTCTGCTGAAGGGGCATCCCCCCCTTCCAGAGGATGTCCTTTTTGTGCAGGAAGATGAAGGGCCAGTGGGAGGTGCTTCTGTCACTCGCCACCCTCACTTTCCCGTGCTGTTTTCCTCCTCCAGGCTGTGCGGGTGACCAAGCCCAATATCCCTGAGGCGATCCGCAGAAACTACGAGTTGATGTGAGTATTTTTTGCTGCCCAAGCTACACCCACCACACTCCCCCACCCCACCCCCACCTCATCCCATCCCAAAGTTAACTGAAGCCGTGCCAGGAGCTCATTCCCCTTCTTGAGTATTCGTTACAGCCCATCGCTCTGCGAGATGGAGCAGGTGCATCCAGACAGTCACCTGGGCTCCGTAGCTGTGGTGGAGAGCCACAGGAGAACTCTTCCCAGCCGTGCTGCTTTTCAAAGGGCCAGGGGGCATTGTTTGTGCTTCCTGGGTCATATCAAAGACGATAGGAGCGAAAGGTGGTTAAGTGGGCAGGCAGGTGCATTTTACCAAAGTAAATTATGCTTTATTTCCCACAAATGAGTTATTTTGGGGGTGAAAGAGAGCTGTGTTACTGTCTGCAACAGAACTGCTTTTCCCTGGGACATTCAACAGCCTTCCAGGAGAGAGGACGAACTCACAGTTTGCCTCTCCTCAGCGGAAGTCTGGCTTCTCCGGGAGACGGTGAAGTTCCTCAGAAGCTTCTTCTATGGTGGCCTCACAGCTTTTTTTTTTTCTCCCTATCAGGGAAAGCGAGAAGACGAAGCTTCTCATTGCAGCACAGAAACAGAAGGTAGTGGAGAAGGAAGCTGAGACGGAGCGGAAGAAGGCCCTCATCGGTCTGAATGTCATTCTGCGATCCCCTCACATGGCAAAGGGGGCTGGAGGGGGTGGTGGGAAGCTGAGAGGTAGCCTCAGGCACTGTTAGATCACACAGCCCTCCAAACCCTTGCCGGGGCGCAGGAGTGGCATTCGTACTCCCAGAAGCAAAGCGGAAGTCATGAGATCACAGCTAGGGGCAGTGCGTTTTGAGTCTCTCCTTAGGTTTGAAATGAAAAGAACCTTTTTTCTAAATGCATTAACGGATAATAAGAATGGCTGATACCTGTCGAGCAGGTATCATGGGTCATGTACTTTTCAAAGCACTTGCATGTGCTCACATGTACTCCTCACAACCACCAGGTGACATAAGTTCTATCGTTAACCTCATTTTCCCAAATCAAAGACCAGAGGGTTTAAATAATGTGCCCAGGGTCATATTGCAATTAACTGGTGGAAACGGGGTTCAACCCCAGGGACTCTGTCCAGAACCTGGTTTGTAATCACTACACTGGATTATCAACAATGACTAACTGCTTCCCAAAGTGAAGTGGCAGGGAGAAACTGTTTGGAGAGTATCTTACTCCTTAGCCTAACCGTTCAGGAGAAATACCCTTGTGACAGGAGAGGTGAGGGCCTGCTCCTCGCTTCCGTCACGGGGCCCAGGTCTCTCCGTTTACTGTCTTGTGCCGATGTCGTGGTACCGCCCTCCCTGGTACAGCCCACCTGTGCCCCTCACGGGGCTCTCCTTCTGAGCTAACCCACCGGCCTGCATCAGAGACTCAGGAACGGTCAAACAGTCCAGCTTTTGAAATACCAGAGCTGTGAGCCTTTTCTCAACTTTCTTACTGTAGAGGCAGAAAAAGTGGCTCAGGTCGCAGAAATCACCTATGGGCAGAAGGTGATGGAGAAGGAGACGGAGAAGAAGATTTCAGAAATTGAAGGTGAGCACAGGTGAAGTAAACGCCCAAGGTTTCCTCAGGCCCCACCTGTGACAAGGGGGTGAGACAGTCATTTCCTTCATTCTTTCATCTTTGTTCTAAGACGAGATGATTTATTTGGAAAATCACTTTTTCTCTGAGCTTTGAGTCGACTTTGGGGGAGATATGGGCCAGGCTGGCGTCAGTTTTCCACTTCAGAGAGCATTTGCTCACTCAGCAGACGTCCACTGCGTGCGGCTAGGCGTGCTCATGTGATGCCTAAGGAAAAAGGAAATCACTGAAGGTCCTGCTGTCTGGCAAGGGTCTCAGAGCCTAGGAAGTGAGCAAAGAGATGAGGACGGAACAGCAGCTCCTCCCTGTGCCTTCCCTAGCCCCCGTTCACGTCCGCAAACACCCCAGCTGTGGCCTCTTAGTCTGCTCTTGACACCCTCTGTCGTGGATACCAAGGCAGCTATGAAAGGGACACCTTTTCAGCACCAATAGCACTGGAGCTGGAGAAGGTTTTCTCTGCTGGCTTTTCTGAACTCTGTTCACCTTCAGTTCCCTGCCCCTAAGCCCTCAGCTCGTTCCTACCACCTACCCTTTCCTTCATGTGGTGCCTTAAATCAAGCAAATTCTAGGACAAAAATGGGCCCTTGAGGCCCAGCTTCCAAATGCTGTGCCCACTTGGACTCACTGTGGGACCTGTCAGGCTTTGAGCGGGCCCGGTGAAGAGCCAGCTAGGATTTTACAGGTCAGTGGCTCCTCATTAGGGAGCTCTTGGCAAAACAAGACATTCTTATTTCTTGTAAAAACATGTCATCAGGTGCTAAGGCCACTTGACGGACACCTGCAGCCAGCACCCCTGCCAGACTCCACCCTCCTTCCTCCCGGGGTCTTGCTGGGGGTGGGCAGGAAGAACCCACCCGCAGACTGGCTGTCCTTCCCAGGCTTTTGGCTACAGATAGCGCTCATGGGAGGCTGGCCTCATTCCCAAGGCAAGGGAGTAAGCAAAAATTTTGCATCAGCTTGACAGAAAGCGCGTCTCATCGGATTGAGGAAGAGTGTCACGCGCGCGGTGGAGGTTGAAATAGGACTTTGTCCAAACAGGTGTTGGTCTGGACCGCGGTGTATAGGGGCCTTATTTAGAGTCGTGCCAGCTTCCTCACTGCTAACGAGGACTTTTTTGAAATGAGCGATGGAAATAAAAAGGGAAACAAAGTTGGAGAGGGACCGAGCTGTTTGTTTAGGTGGGGTCACCTCCAGCTGGGCTCCTGGGGCTTTTGTTGAGCCCCACAAGAGGGATGAGGTGGAGAGCTCTGAGGCTCGAGGTCGGGGCAGGCCCCACGCGGCTTCCACGCGGAGGAGAGGCAAGAGGAGTCAGTGCAGGGAAACGGAAGCATTGCTGGGCTGCAGTGCTCCTCCGGAGCCTGCTGTCAGAGAGGTTGCTGGGCACAGCAGCGGCCTTGCTCATCTTTAGTCCCCACCGCAGGGGGATGCCGTCCAGGCACCTCCTCATCGTGGTTGATTTTCAACCACGACTTGTGAAATAGGGGAAAACACCTCTTTCCGCATTTTGCAGCAGAGGAAACCAAAGCAAGGAGGCAAAAGAGCAGTCTCCCCGAGGTCACGGAGGCAGGAGGGAGAAGGGCCCAGTGTTCTGGTGGCCTCTGCCCTGCACTCACTGCCCTGTTGCCCGCAGATGCTGCATTCCTGGCCCGGGAGAAGGCGAAGGCCGATGCGGAGTGCTACACCGCTATGAAGCTGGCCGAAGCCAACAAGGTAAAACCCTGGGCCACCTGGGGAGGGGAAGGTCTCTTTGGCCTTGCACTAATGTTGTTTGAGAGCTCCGGATGTCAGATGGCTGCCATCGGCAAAGGCCCTCCTGGCCAGAAGGGATGGCCGCTGTGCTGTGGGGCACGGGGGCTGCCCATCCCCTGAGCCGAGCTTCCGCAGAAGTTGTATCATCGTGTGAAACAGAAACTCCTCAGACTGGCAGCTCTGACCGCGCAGATCCATTAGTGCCCGTCACTCAGAGAGCCGTGAGGCCTGGAAGCGTCGAGGGGGCGCACTGCTTGGGCAGAGACCCTCTGTGAAGGGTGCCTCCCAGAGCTGTCCCAGATGGGGCTCCACCTGGGCTCTGCTTTGTTTATTCCAGCTGAAGCTGACACCGGAGTACCTGCAGCTGATGAAGTACAGAGCCATCGCTTCCAACAGCAAGATTTACTTCGGCAAAGACATCCCGAACATGTTCGTGGACTCTGCAGGCGGTCTGGGCAAGCAGTTCGAGGGGCTGGCTGACAAGCTGAGTTTCGATGATGAGCCCTTGGACGTAGACCCCGAGGAGAATTGAAAGTTTTTTGTATACAACCTCGGATGACACTTACAAGAGATCTTTATTTTTGAATGATGAACCGGGATGCTCCTCCCTCCCACACTACCTGCTTTGACTCTCTTCCACATTCTGTGGAGCAAAAAGAAGAAATGGATTTAAATCTGTTCCCCTTCCTGGGAAGGGAGGGCTGGGATTGATGATTTGGGTTTTTATTCAGGTAAGCGGGTCATATGGCTTCTGTTAAGATGGGCGAACCATGGGTTTGACCTTTGCCCTCCAGACACTCATTTTAGCCCTTTGACGCTGGCGTAAGTAGGGATTCGATCGTTACAGAGGGGGAGAGGTAGAGGGTGTTGCCTCCAGGTGATTTGCTTTACCCCGTTTGGGGAAAGGCAGTCTAATTTTCTCACCTCTGCCTCCAAGGATGCCTGTGGGGGAGCCTCAGCCGCTGAGTAGCTGTGTGCTTGTGAGTCCGCCCCGAGCTGGGGGCGGCCGCTGCCAAGAACAACGGGCTTCGCTGGTATTTCTGGCGGCACATGGGAGTTGTTTTGGCAGCGCGCGCTCTCGAGCCCTCACAAGGAAGGACTGGTGCTAGGTTTTGCAAGCTTCTCTCACCCCAGGGCTTAAAAAGCAGCGATTTCTGACTACATTCCAGAGTCTGGGTTTGGGCATCACCCACAATTCTTCTTAAAACTCTTCACCTGTTCTGTGATTTGGTTCTTTTTTTTTTTTTTTCCCTCTCGAATCTGTTCGTTGATTCCACTCAGCGTTAGGAAGATAGGAACAAACAACCCAAGTGTCTTACTAGCTGCTGAAGGGGGTCGCTCTGTCTCTCAGCCAGCGTGGTACCTGCTTGGCAAACTGCGTATGTTCCTTGAGACCTAGCATCTTTCTCACCGTGGAGGTTCTCTGTCCAAGAGCGCCTCTGGGGGCGGAGGAAAGACACCTGAAGGATGTCCTGGTCTTACTGCCTACAGGCAGTCTGTCTGACGGAGTGAGAAAAAGGGAGCTCGCTAGTGGCATGGGTTTTGAAGTCTAGGGCGCCAGCAGCCACACGGGTCAGACCGAATGTTCTACCTCCAGAGACAGCTGTGAAGGTCATGAGCTCATGCCCAGGTCCCTGGCTTGGAAGGGCTGATTCAGAATCTGTTCGAATGGTTTGGGGTGGTTTTTTGTTGGTTGGGTTTTGTTTTGTTTTGTTTTTTCCCATTTCTAGTTAGGAAAATTTTGTGTCATTCTGGGAGATTTGGGATGGAGAAGACCAACCATGAAAGGAAGGGTTTTTTTATATCCTGAAATCAGAGGGAGGAGGTGGGTTCCAGCTGATGTAGGCCATGAGCTGTGTACCAGATTGTGAGGTTAACTCCGCTTTCATTTGCAGGCGTGTTGGTCTTCCCCATGACAAACTCTGGCTTAGGGTCTGGCCTTGTTATTAGCTGCCCTCCCCACCACCACTACCAAAGAAACTACCGCGGCACCCCTTTTCCCTCAGCGAAACTATGAACCATACCTTCTGGCACAGATGCCCACCTCATTTTTGGTCCCGTGCCCAGACTTCTGCTTTATTGGATGGCCCCAGAACTCGGGCCAGCTTGCTCCCAGGTAGCACCAGGCTTGTCAAGAGTTGGGGAGCGTTCAGCCTGCTTAGGTAGAAACAACATGTTAACTCCTCCTAATTCAAGCGTTGCCCTTCCCTATTCTCATTTCTGGGACTTAAGAATTCTCACACCAGTGGTCCTGGTCACACTTCGTGCAAGCAGCCAACTGTTCCTGGCAATGATGGATTTGTATGTGCTCGAAAGTGCTTGCAGAAGACAGTCTCCCAAGGCCAACATAGGCATCCATTATTAAGATCTTCTTACCCTCCTCCCATTTCGATGCCATTAATCCCTTGTTAGGAGCAACATGACACATGACATCTAGTATCCCCATACATATTTTTCTGCTTCCTAGATTTGCTGCCTAGGCCTCAGAAAACACTACTTCAATAGAACAAAAAGCAAGGATCTCTCCACCTCTCAATAGCACGTTTGCTCAGGTTCTTCTCTTGAAAGCCCAATACTAACATCCTGTGACAGCTTGTCCCTTGCACTTGATAAACTTTAACCACAAAAGAGCCTCGAAGTCAAATCCTGCTGCCCCTGCCTCCCTCAATGCTAATGTTGCTTCCTCTTTGAACAAAAAATAGAAATGTCATAGTGCCCCTCCGTTTAAATTCCGCGGTTAGCTGCACCTGCCTGAATAGTAAAATCATGGAAGTCAGCAGTTTCCTCAGCACGGGACGATAACCAATCTGTGCGATTCTGTGTCTTCTGCACTCACTAGAAAATCTGATCTTAAAACATTGGAATCCTAAACATGTAAAAGTGACAGCCTACACATTTGTAGGCAGTAAAGTCATGGCTGCTATTTGTAAATGGAACTTCTATCAAAATACGTAACTGTTTATAAAATTCAGTTTTTGTAGGATTTTTCCAAGGAAAAGGCACCTTGGTTGAATGTTTCTCATTAAACTTTACAGAAGTGGTTCATATTCGTACTGTTTTTAATCACTTTTTTAATATAAGGACAGAATATTTGCAAGGAAGCCAAAGTTTGTTAATAGTTTTTATAAGACTAAAATAAAATAAATTTGAAGGGATCTGTGGTCATATTAACTTGAAGGAGGAAAAATATAATTGAAAGAATTTTGGCAATATATTGACTCAAAAAAAAAACTTGTTTTCTAAATGATCTGTTGTAATTTCTTTGGGTCCATATATCTTTCAGCACTGTTGGCTTTGCCATTTATAGAGAGTAAGTAGTGAAAGTAAGGTCGTCGTCTTACTGACTTAGCATTTTAAATTTGACTGAAGATAAACTTCAATCCTCAGTTGAGAATAAACCTGTATGTTGACTAGTGGCTGCTCTGTGTCTGTGAACTTAACGGGCTACTTCATTAGTTCTACTCGGTAGGGTCCGAGCCACTCTTCTATTGCTTCCTTAGAAAGGAAGTAATAGCCAATCAGTTTGTGTTTGTATTTCAATTTCTTTTTATTTCTGCTTTTGTGTAAGCTGGTGATTGAACAGTCAAAACTAATTCTACTTTCAAAGAGCCCCAGCGGTTTAATGACCCCCTCTGTAAATGAGAAATGATTCTTGTTACATTAATCACTCTATAAATAATGTGCTGGATTAATTACCTTGGGTTAATAGCTGGAGGTATTGTTTTAGACAACACTAAAGATGTGAATTTATATCTGTTTTATTTTCAGTCTTGATAAATAAAATCATTCTTCTTTGTATTTACTTTTTTATTAAAGTGAAATTTAGTGATAGCTAATATTAGGATAGGTGATACAAAGAAATAAAACATCCCTCCCTAGTGTGTGGAGTGCAAGATCACCCTAAAAATATATTCAGATGAATACCCCCATTATTAATGTAGAAACAATAAATAACTAATTTGTAAACATGGCATGATTCTTGGTAGGTGCTATGGAAATTGATCATTTTAAAGAATCCATTCACTGCTGCAATTCTGGCCCAAAGGGTAGAGATCATTTCAGTTGACCCAGAACTCATTTTGATACCAATTCAGTCAGAAAGTCCCAGTCTCTACTCTGGAAAGTTGCCCAGCCTAAAGCCGCCAAGTAAAATACACGATGCTTGGTCCAATTTGAATTTTGTATAAACAACTAATAACTTTTAGTATAAGTATGTCTCAAGTACAGCAGGAGACATAGTAAAAAATTATTTATATGACATGCACATTTAACTGAATAGCCTGTATTTTTATTTGCCAAACGTGGCAACCCAACCCCAGGCTTTCTCGGGTTTTTAATGGTGCTCTCAGACTTTCTCTGTTGGTGTGCAAGCCACTACATACACAATATGAACTTACAGTTGAGTAGGTAAGTTAAGAATATAGTGCCCGGGGTTAGACTGTCATGATTCAGGTCCCTGCTCGACCACTTCCTATGTGTATGGTCTTAAATAATTTTTTTTCTTTTTAAAGATTCTATTTATTTATTTGACAGAGACAACAAGAGAGGAAACACAAGCAGGGGGAGTGGGAGAGGGAGAAGCACGCCTCCTGCCGAACAGGGAGCCCAACGCAGGGCTTGATCCCAGGACCCTGGAATCATGACCTGAGCCGAAAGCAGACACCCAATGACTGAGCCACCCAGGCACCCCTTAAAATAAATTCTTTACCCTCTCTGAACATCACTTTCTTCATCTATAAAATGGGTTGAGTGGATTAAATGAAATTCTGTGTGTGAAGGGGTTAGCACTGGGTCTGTCATGTATGACGTTTTCAGTCATCTGGGAAAACGGGCTAGGAAGCACACAAATATTCAGTGGGTACCACTAAATGGAAAATCGAACAAATGGGATAACAGAGTAAGATTACAGGTTACATAGTGCAGAGAGGAAAAAGGGAACAATATTGGAATTCAGCAAACAGTACTGAGAATACATACATCTACAAAAATGTCCTATGTACAAATGAAGCAGGTTTGGCCATCTTGAGAGGAATTCCCAGTTTGGGGAAAAAAAAGACTTTAAGAGAAGGCTAGCAAAACAAAATGTTAAAACCAAAATTTAAAAAGTAAAAAAAAAAAAAAAGCCAGCAGTGCCTAGGTGGCTCCGTTGGTTAAATGTCTATCTTTGACTTAGGTCATGATCCCAGGGTCACCCTTGAATGAGTCCCGCATCAGGCTTCCCGCTCAGTGGGGATTCTGCTTCTCCCTCCCCCTCTGCTTCCCGCGCCCCCAGCTCATGCTGCCTGTCTCTCTCGCGCTCACTCTCTCAAAAAATAAAGTTTTTTAAAAATTAAAAAAAAAAACATGAGTTGACCCCATAAAAGGTGGAAGGGGAATTTAATGACTTCACTTTTTAAAGTTGCACAAGGGTTGGCTAGGTAATCTCTAGCTCCTCTGAGACCAGTGAAGAGGAAATTAGCTTGCACAATAGAGTATTTTAAAAGATTTCACTTAAGGTAAGATTGGCTAAAATTTGAAATCAGGAGAAGTAGTCGTGTGCAAATAGTAAATCCAGGGGTGCCTGGGTGGCTCAGTCGTTAACGTGTCTGCCTTCGGCTCAGGTCATGATCCCAGGGTCTTGGGATCGAGCCCCACATCAAGCCCCGAATCATGCTCCCTGCTTGGCCAGAAGCCTGCTTCTCCCTCTCCCACTCCCCCTGCTTGTGTTTCCTCTCTTGCTGTGTCCCTCTCTGTTAAATAAATAAAATCTTAAAAAAGGAAAAAGAAACCCAGGGATTGATAGGAATAATATTTTCTTCTCAGACGGTCTTCAGAAATTGGGGAGGGTCTGTGCTGTTTGGGATGGTTTCAATGTCATTCTTTCTATATGAAAGATCAAATGTTCTCTAAAGGTTCTGCCCAGGTCTGTGGTTCTAGAATCTATATTCACATTTCAAAAGCCAAATGTGACAGTTGGTTTGCTGAGGGATTGTTGTCATGGCTTCTCTACCTCAATTCATTTGAATTAGGACATGGGCATTATTTCTCCATTTCTCTTTAGAGCCAAGTAACCAGGCAACTGTAATTTTCTATTATTTTATCTTTTTTTATCTCCCAAAAGAATCACAGTAAGCTCAGAAGGAAGCATGAACGTTTTTCTTGTAATTCAGGGCCTCAGACAACAGAAGTGCATGTTTTAAATACTTGATGACATTGATGGTGAATAACTATACTAGATTTTATAAAATTATAAAATCTGTTCCTCTGGGTATTTGGCTTTTTAATCTTTCTCTCTTCCTCTTTGTCCCTGCAAACTGTGGGGAGCAATTTGAAGACAGTTACAGGTGATGAAGTGATTGTGGACCTCTATTTTTCAAGGATTAGGGAAGAATGAAGCATTAAATGAGATGGTTGATGTCCCAGGAAGTGGAAGAGAAAAAAATGAAAATGAAAATAAGGAGAAAAAAGTGGAATAAAATTCATTCAAAAGCATAGCTGAGAAGTAAAGACATTGAAAAATGTGAAATGATGAGACCAGGGTCACCCTGATCTTTTTGTCTTTACTTCCATTTTCATAAGGTTATAGAATGTTAGAGGTGAAAAGCATCTTAGAAACGAATCCACAGTAAAACCTGTCTTACGCATCCTATTCTCCCCCCAAGATATCTTTACAGAGAAATGCCCCTATGGATGTTTACTGAATAGATAAGCAGGGTCGGGGAACTACCACTTGTTGAACATTTAAACTTGCTTTGGCGGAGCACTCTGCTAACTATCTTACAGATGTTTTCTCCATTAATCCCCATTGCACCTCTGAAGGAGATATTGACTCCATTTTATAGATGAAAAGTTGAGAGCTTCAGTAACTTATCCAAGATCACAATTTAGTGAGGAAACCAAGATTGAATGTGTGTCAGCCCTATGCCACCACTACCCAATCTTGGCACCACTGTCCTTATTAATTTGAAATCTTAAGTCACTCTTCTGATGCCTCTTTGGGAGCCACGCACAGGTACAATATGGGGAATGGGGGTGGGGGAGATTGACCTTAAAATTCAAAGAAGACACCTGACCTAGTAAATGAAATCTATTAAACGAGGACTTCTGCTTGTTGTCATGATAACCTATCCCCTGGATTGTATGTACATCCGTTAAATCTGATGAAGTAGTTATGGTTTTGAAAATGTTTTCCATGAGCACCTGTGCAGTTCAGTCAGTTAAGCGTCTGACTCTTGATTCTGGCTCAGGTCATGATTGCAGGGTGGTGGGATGCAGCCCTGAGCCAGTCTCTGCTGGGTGTGGAGCCTGCTTACAGATTGTCTCTCTCCCTCTCCCTCTGCCCCTCCCTGCTTGCATGCTCCCTCTCTAAAAATAAATAAGTGTGTTTGAAGTACCCTATCACTATAAGTATGTCACGTTCACCCAATCCTTCCTCTATACATTTCTTCACCAGGGTCCTGGTTACTGTAAACCCCTTTGTTTCTCCAGGCACTGACTGCTGCCTAGCACCTTCAACTCACTATCTCTACAGCAAACTACTCACACCATGAAAGGTTGTTCTAATCATGTTTTAATTGTTGTCATTTAGTCAGGAGTAGAAATTATCAAGTCCAGAGCCATTTTATTTGAACACAATTACTACTAATGTCTTTGGCAACCCTAATGTACAGATAACCCAGTTCCTTGTACCCAGTAAAAGAGAAACTTTCCAAAAAGAAGAAACTTCCCCAAAAGATGGCAAGTACCCTAGGTTCTGCTCTAAAGTGATTTTTCCCAGAGCACAACACAAGAGATTTTATCTGAGTTCCCGGGGTTCTGAGAAGATGGTGAGAGAAGAAAGAATATTGCCTTTTACTTCCTGAAGATTCAAAGTAAGCCGAGTGGCCCCAAGACAACCTGAGGAACAAACTTTGGCCTTTTCTCCAACATAATATCATCCCACTTCATTAAGTTGAAATGCATGAAAATCTTCCAACTATACAGCCAAACCCGCTTTCCTTTACACAATTGATCTCTTTCTACCTACCCACAGCACCTACTATTTCACCATCTATCAAAGTTTGTATTTTACTGTGTTAGCCTTTATATTGCTTGGCTCCTTCTCGCAGAGCTGGACACAGAGGACACTCAAGAATTGGACTGAAGTGTGTGCAGAGGTCGTGCTACACCGTCTAAAGCGGCCTGAGCCCTCCTCCGGTAAGGCAGTGCTAGCCGCAGCCGGCTTCTGACCTCTTGAAATACGGATAGCCCGAACTGAGGCAGGCTGTAAATCAAAACCACACACCGAGTTTTATAAATCAAGCACAATAAAACAAAATCTCACGGCGCCTGGCTGACTCAGTGGGTAGAGCATGGGACATTGGATTTTCCGGTTGTTAAATTCAAGGCGCACTTGGGTGTACAGACTACTTAAAAATAAAATCTTTTCAAAGAAACTCAGTTAAGTGTCCCCATTGGTTGCAGAGTGAAACCTTGCTTTGGAGATACTGAGTTAAGTGTATTCATGAAAATGTTTTACTTTTTATGTGCCCATTGAGAATTCCTAATTACTTGTGTGGCTCGCATATTTCCATTGGACAGCACTGTTTCAATGATGACAAGAAGAAATAAACATGCATTTGAATCAGGCCGTGTTCTTTAGAAATAGTTTTATCGGTTCCTCATGAGACTCATCTGAGACACTCGAAGCCACGTCTCCCGCTCTAACAGCGAGTCCTGGTCCCCGCGCGGAAATCTCAGTTCACAGCTCTTTGAACGCCAGGGAAGCGCAAATGTGGGGGGCATTTGGAAAAAAACGAGAACCTCGGAACACGCTTTTAATTTTTTTTCCCGTCAGAAAGGTCCCACAGGGGTGGGGGCGGCGGCTCAGGCGCATAGTGGACGTGGAAGGCTCGCCGGGGGGCACCGGAACCCCTGCAGAGGGACTCCACACCCCCGCCCCCGCGTCCAGAGTCCCGCCCGTAAGTGCCCAGCAAAGCCAGAGCCGCCTCTCCAAGATGGCCGGCGCCGCGGGGCGGAGACGCCCGCCATCCCGCCCTCGGCCCGCCCCCGGCCCAGTGTCGATTGGGTGAGACGACTCGGTGGTGAGCGGCGATTGGGCCACACAGGACGCGAGCTGGGCGGGACCGGAAAGCGTTCTCAGCCTGGGAGCGCGGGGCGGGGGGCGGTCCGCCCTCGGCGAAGGTCCCTGGGGATGTGGAGAGCTGGCAGCATGTCGGCGGAGCTGGGAGTCGGGCTCGCATTGCGGGCGGTGAACGAGCGCGTGCAGCAGGCGGTGGCGCGGCGGCCGCCGGTGAGGAGGGAGACGGCGTGGGGACGGTGGGAGGCTGCTTAGAGAAGGGGACACCCGCATGGGAATGGGTCGTCACGGTGACGCAGAGGGGGTCTCCCGGCGGGGCGGGAGCGGTCCAGCTGCCTTGGCGTCGGCGTGGGTTGCAGAGCCCCCGCAAGGCTAGTTTCCTCAGCGACCTCGCGATGAGTCTGACAGGTTTTCTGGAGGTTGGTTCCGTTGGAGCAGAAGGTGTCCACTACCCCAGAAAATGATGTCCCCGACATCGCGGCCGTTGCCCACCCGCCTTGTCTATGAGTCAACAGCCTTAGCGGACGGGAGCAGCGCCGGTCCGGTGCCCAGAACATGCAAGAGAAGACGTCCCCAAGAGCACCCAGAGAGGGCCAGGTCTCCTGAGATCGCTTATGCGGCGACGTCTAACAGCTAGCGGTCGCTCAGTAATTGTCGACACCAGAGCTGCGCTAGGACGTAATATTCCTAAACATTCATTCATTTGGCTCTTTCCCTCTTGGCAGGAGGGAACTGACATCCAATCCCAAGCAGTTTAAAGGGAGACTCCCACCCCCCCTTATATTCTGTCTCCTCTTGGACTTTAATTAGATCAAGCGTCAGTATTTGCTCCCCTCCGTGTAAGTTTAAGCTGAATGGTGTGGAGTGAGACATAACTGAACAGAAAGGTCAGAGTTTCTCTGTTCAAGCATGGATGGTGTCAGAATTCAGAATTCCGTCCTGGAGGCAGATGTCGTAGATTGGTATAGTCTTTCCTTGGCTACTAATAAGATGTGACCTTGAACTAAGTCCCTTAACTACTCTGGTCCGGAGTTTCCTCATCTGCCGTAGGCAATGGAATAAGATCTCATTGCTTTAGGCTCCCTGCTGGCATTGATGTTCTGTGATTCTCAGTGATTCTCCCTAATACAGGTCACAAATATATCAGGACCAGAATGAGTTTCCAGAACTTAACTGTGGAGTTTCAGAAGCCAGCAGGGACACCCCCTCTGGTGAGAGGGTAATGCCTTCCCTTAATGAAGTGCTTCTTAAACCTCCAACATTAATGTGCAAGAGCATCATCTGGAGAGTTTGTGTAAAAAGCAGATGCTCAGACTCCAGCCCCAGAGATTCAGATTCAGTAGGTCTGGAGTGGTACCCAGATGATGCCCATGCAGTTGGTTAAAGACTGCATTTTAAGGAAATACTGCCTTTACTTACCTTCCCAGTTCTCCTGAGAGTAGATGTTCAAGTAGCTAACACAGGGCACCTGGGTGGCTCAGTGGATTAAGCCTCTGCCTTTGGCTCAGGTCATGATCCCAGGGTCCCAGGATGGAGCTCCCTGCTCAGTAGAGAGTCTGCTTCTCCCTCTCTCTCGCGCCCCCCACTTGTGTATGCAAGCTCTCACTCTCTCTTTCTCTTTCAAATGATTAAGTAAAATCTTAAAAAAATAATAATAAAGTAGCTAACACACTAGATTTGGATGCCATACATTTGAAAGACATTCAATCAACATTTGGTACTGGTCTCCCTCCAGTATTGAAATAACGGAGCTTACCTAATGTCACGTTAAGACCTACACCAATTGATTCTATGGGATCCGTCTTACAGAACTTACTGGGATAATATTCCTAAACATTCACTCATTTGGCTCTTTCCTCTTGGCAGGATCTCCCAGCCATCCAGCCCCGGCTAGTAGCAGTCAGCAAAACCAAACCTGCAGACATGGTGATTGAAGCCTACAGTCATGGCCAGCGTACTTTTGGGGAGAACTATGTAAGAGTCCTTTTCCAGTCTGCCTTTGGAAGAGTCGTGATTGCCAGGCTTCTGATACGTTCTATTTTTACCCTTTAGGTTCAAGAACTGCTAGAAAAAGCATCAAATCCTAAAGTAAGTGGATATCTGAATTTTGGAGTTTATGTCTACTCTTGGCCCTTCAGCTGAAAGTTAGACACATTTTGGTGGTTGAGTTTTACAGGATGATCAGCTGGCAGTAGAAATGTCTGTAATCATCTTGAACTCCAAATACTTCTCAGCTAGATTTTCTTTCTTTATTAAAACTAAGACTGTAGTTTTCTCCTCTGCAGCTTTTTGGATGTGGTGATTTAGGAGCTTGCTATAATCCTGGGTCCTTTTGAGGTTTGAAAGCTTTAGTCAGTTCATCCTTTGTTTTGTTGTTGTTGTTGTTTTATTTTGTCTTTTTGAAGTAGGCTCCACACCCAGTGTGTGGCTTGAATTCATGACCCTAAGATCTAGAGTCATGTGCTCTACTGACTGAGCCAGCCAGGTACCCCATAATCAGTTCATCTTTAATGGATGATATCTAAAAGAAGGAGGAAGCTGATAGGAACAAGCAAGAGAAACAGAGTAGAAGCCTTGGGTTTTTCTCTAAGTATCCTTTGGAGCCTGGCTAACGATGGTGATAATGGTTTGTTGGATAGAAATGAAAAGACAGAAGGAGATGTGTAAGGTATTTGAGCCAGCAAGGCCTTCATAAATTCTAGTCAAACATGGTTACCTTTTTCTCTGCAGATTCTGTCTTTGTGTCCTGAGATCAAATGGCACTTCATTGGCCACCTACAGAAACAAAATGTCAACAAATTGATGGGTAAGATAAAATTCTAAATATGGAGACAAAATCTTTCTACCATTATATTACTTACACTACTTTCTGTGGCAAAGGGAAGAGCTTTTAAAATAGTCCTAATTCGGGGCGCCTGGGTGGCTCAGTGGGTTAAAGCCTCTGCCTTCGGCTCAGGTCGTGATCCTGGGGTTCTGGGATCGAGCCCCGCATTGGGCTCTCTGCTCAGCAGGGAGCCTGTTTCCTCCTCTCTCTCTGCCTACTTGTGATCTCTGTCTGTCAAATAAATAAATAAAATCTTTAAAAAAAAAAAAAAAAGAATCAGTGTTAGGGGGTGCCTGGGTGGCTCAGTGGGTTAAAGCCTCTGCCTTCCGCTCAGGTCATGATCCCAGGGTCCTGGGATCGAGCCCCACATCAGGCTCTCTGCTCAGCAGGGAGCCTGCTTCCCTCTTTCTGTCTCTGCCTGCCTCTCTGCCTACTTGTGATATCTGTCAAATAAATAAATAAAATCTTTTTTAAAAAAAAGGAAATTTTTTTTTTTTTTTTTTAAAGATTTTTATTTATTTATTTGACAGACAGATCACAGGTAGGCAGAGAGGCAGGCAGAGAGAGAGAGAGAGAAGAGGAAGCAGGCTCCCCACTGAGCAGAGAGCCCGATGCGGGGCTCGATCCCAGGATCCTGGGATCATGACCTGAGCCGAAGGCAGAGGCTTTAAGCCACTGAGCCACCCAGGTGCCCCAAAAAAAGGAAATTTAAAAACAAAAAAAGAATCAATGTTAGATTTTGTCAAATGCCTTTCCTGCATCCATTGAAATGATACTGTGGTTTTCTTTTTCAGTTTATTAACATGTTGAATTACATTTATTGATTTTCCAATGTTAAACTACCTCTACATTCCTAGGAATAAGCTCACTTGGTCAGGCAGTATTATCCTTTTACTGTAATGTTGCATTTGATTTGTTAACTTTTGCTTAGAATATTTGCATCGACATTCAAAAGGGACATTGGGCTGTCATTTTCTTGTAATATCTTTCTTTAGGTTTCATAACAATAATACTGGCCTAATAGAACTGGAAAGTACTCCTACTTCTTCAGTCTTTTGGAAGAGTTTGTGTGGAATTGGTATTGTCCCTTCCTTAACTGCTTGGTAGAATTCATCAGTGAGGCCTGGCATTTCTTTGTAGGAAGGTTTTGGGTTTGGTTTTTTGTTTTTTGTTTTTTTTTTTAAGATTTTATTTATTTATTTGAGAGAGAGAGCATGAGAGTGGGGAGGGTCAGAGGAAGAAGGAGGCTCCCTGCTCAGGACTCTGAGCAGGAAGTCCTGGGACTCCAGAATCATGATCTGAGCCAAAGACAGTCGCCCAACCAACTGAGCCATCCAGGCACCCTGTAGGAAGGTTTTTAACTATAGTTTCAGTTTTGTTAATAGACTTCACATAATCTGTTTTTTCTTGGGTGAGCTTTGTTACTTTATGTTTTTTGAGGAATTTGCCCATTTCATCTAAAGTAATGAATTTATGAGCATTAAGTTGTTAGTAATATCTCTTTATTATCCTTTTAATATCTGTAGAATCTGTAGTGACGTCAACTCATTCCTGATGTTATTATAAGGTTCTTAAACTTTATATTAGGTGGTATGACATCATTTTAAGGTAGACTGTGTATAAGTTCAACTTTAAAGCAACCAATAAAGGTGCCTGACTGGCTCAGTTGGTAGAGCATACAACTTGATCTCAGGGTCATAAGTTCAAGCCTCACACTTGGGTCATAAGTTCAAGCCCCACACTTGGGCATAGAGCTTACTTAAAAAAATAAAATAAATCAACCAATAAAATAACACAATAGAAAATTATAGCTAATAAGTCAGCAAAGAAGATAAAGTGGAGTAATAAAAAATACGTGAAATGGTATCACATTGTGGCTTGATTTGCATTTCCCTAATGACAAATGAAGTTGAGCACTTTTTCATGTGTTTATTGGCCATTTGTACATCTTATTTGGAGAAATGTCTGTTCAGATCCTTTGTGTGTTTTTTAATTGGGTCCTGTGTGTGTGTGTGTGTGTGTGTGTGTGTGTGTGTTTGACTCTTTTTTTTTTTTTTTTAAATAAACATATAATGTATTTTTATCCGCAGGGGTACAGGTCTGTGAATCGCCAGGTTTACACATTTCACAGCACTCACCATAGCACATACCCTCCCCAGTGTCCATATCCTAATTGGGTCTTTTTATTATCAAGTTATAAAATTTCTTTTATATATCCTAGGTACCAGTCCTTTATGCTGTGTATGATTTGCAAATATATTCTCCCATTCCATGGTAATAGTATCTTTACCATCTTTCTTTATGGTATTTTTTGTAGCCTAGAAATCTTTCATTTTAATGTACTCTAGTTTATCTCTTTTTTCTTTTGTGGCATGTGCTATTGGTACTATAGCTAAGAAATCCAAGGTCACAAAGATTTTTTTTTTCTTAAGTAATCTCTGTGCCCAATATGGGGCTTGAACTCACAACCCTGAGATGGAGAGTCAGATGCTCTACCGTTTGAGCCAGCCAGATGCCCCCAGAGTCTCAAAGATTTGCTCCTATTTTCTTCTGAGAGTTTTATCGTGTTAGCTCTTACCTTTGGGTCTTTTTGAGTTAATTTTTATGTATTGCCTAAGGAAAAGGAAGGTGCCACTTCATTCTTTTCCATTGAACTTTTTTGTACCTTCACCTTTATTTTTCAAAGGTACTTTTGCAGACCGTAGAGCTTTAGCTTAATGGTTTTTTCGTTCGATACTTTAAAGATATTGCTCCACTGTCTTTACTTAGACTGTTTCCAATGAGAAATATAATGTCATCCTTATCTTTGTTCCTCTGTATGTAACATGGTTTTTTTTTTTCCTTTAGCTACTTGCAAGGTTTTCTTGTTATCACTGACTTTGAGCAATTTAATTATGATATGCCTTGGTGTAATTTTTTTTTTTTTTCCACATTTCTTGTGCTTGGGGTTCATTGAGCTTCTTGGATCTGGGGTTCTAATCAAGTTTAGAAATTTTTCAACTATTGTTTCTTCACATATATTTTTTGCCTCCCCCTTTCTTTTCTCCTTTGGGGACTCCAGTTACCTATTGGTCTGCTTGAGGTGATTCTACAGCCCACTGATGCTCTTTTTAATTTTTATTATTTTTTTTTCCTTCTCTGTGTTTCATTTTGGTTAATTTCTTCAAGGTAACTAAGCCTTTCTTTAGCATTGTCTAATTTGCCATTAATCCCATCAGTGGATTTTTCATCTCCTACATGGTGGTTTTTTTATATCTTCCATGGCCTTCTGTAGTTTTTATATATGGCACATGGTTACAGTAACTTAATGTGCTGCCTACTAATTCTATCATCTTCTGTCGTCTTTGACAGTCTGGGGCAATTTCAGCAGATTGATTTAACCCCTCATTATGTATCATATTTCCTGCTTCTTTGAATGTCTGATTTTTGTTTTTGGGGGGGTTTTTTGTTTGTTTGTTTGTTTTGGACAGTCAAATATTGTGAATTTTCTTTTTGGGAGCTGGCCATTTTCGTATTCCTATAAATATTTTTGAGCCTTTGTTTGGAACACAGCTAACCTACTTGGGGCGGTTTGATCTTTTTAGGTCTTGCTTCTAAGATTAGTTGGTGTGCCTAGAGCAGAGCTCAATTTAGGGCTAATTATTCCCTATTACTGAGATAAGGCACTCCATGTACTCTACCCGGTGCCCCATGAATCCTAAGCCTGTTTGGTGGGAATAGGCACTATTTCATCCCCTCTGTGAACATCAGGCTCTGTTTCTTCTAATCCTTTCAAACAGTTCTGTCCTGAGCCAGGAGTGATTTCCTTACATGCATGCACTGATCTGTACCCAGCCGAGTTCTGGAAGGGAGCCCTTCACAACTCACCAGTGGTCTCTCTGTGTGCAGCTCTTTCCTCTCTCAAATTCTGCCCTGTGAACTCTAGCTACTTAGTCTTTCCAGATTCTTGGTTCCTGTCTTCAACTCAGGTCCACACTCTTCCTGCATTTGCCTTTCCCGTGCCGCATTCTAGAAACTTTAGCTGGGGCAGTTGTGGGACTCACTTCATTTGTTTCTCATCCCTCAGAGATCACTTTCTTTCATTGCATGATACTCTGTTCTTTTACATCACTGTTTCATATATTTTGTCCATTTCGATGTTCAGGTGGGAGGGTAAATCTGATCCCTCTATTTCCATCTTGTCGGAAAGTAGAAGTCTATTGTATTATTTTTTTTTAAGATCTTATTTATTTATTTGACAGAGAGAGACACAGTGAGAGAGGGAACACAAGGAGAGGGAGAGGGAGAAGCAGGCCTTCCACTGAGCAGGCAGCCCAATGTGGGACTCCATCCCAGGACCCCAGGATCATGACCTCAGCCAAAGGCAGCCGCTTAACAACTGAGCCACCCAGGCATCCCTGTTGTATTATTTTTAAAAGCTATTTCATATTAGGTGTGAGGGGAGTAGGGAGCCTATTTATACTTAATAAGTGGACAGCAAGACAATCAGCTTTTTATTGGAGAAATAATTAAATTAGATTCCCTTCCTCACAGTGTAAATTCCAGTGAGATTAAAAAATATTTTTTTTTTTTTAGATTTTATTTATTTATTTGATAGAGACAGCGAGAAAGGGAACACAAGCCAGGGGAGTGGGAGAGGGAGAAGCAGGCTTCCTGACCAGCAGAGAGCCCAACACAGGACCTGATCCCAGGACCCTGGGATCATGACCTGAGCTGAAGACAGATGCTTAACAACTGAGCCATCCAGGTATCCTGACATTAAAGAATCTTAACTTGAAAATCAAAATTATGAAGTATTAGAAGAAAAATAGGAAGATATTTTTTCAGGCTGGTGAAAGACCTTTCTAAATAAAGTCTGGAAGCCATTAAAGAAACAATTAGCACATTTACTTACATAAAAATTAAAGCTTTCCATATGTCAAAGCAAAAGGGAAACACAGATTGGTAGTAAAATAATATTTTTTAAAAGGGGAGGAGGTTAATGTCCGTAATATATAAAGAATTTTTTTTAAAGATTTTATTTATTTATTTAACAGAGACAGCAAGAGAGGGAACACAAGCAGGGGGAGTGGCAGAGGGAGAAGCAGGCTCCCCACTGAGCAAGGAGCCTGATGCAGGACTCAATCCCAGAACCCTGGGATCATGACCTGAGCCAAAGGCAGATGCTTGCTTAACAACTGAGCCACCCAGGTACCCCTAAAGAATTTTTTAATGCATGAGAAAAACATAGGGAAAAACTAAGAACAGGCCATTTATAAGGATAAAATATACAAAAGACCAGTAATCAAACAAAAAATGCTTACCCTCAATAAGAGAAATGCAAAATACAATAATAAATTCTACTTTCCACCAATCAGGTTTGCAAAAAGTAAAAAGTCTGCTAATATTCAATGTTTGAGAGCATGAGTAAATGAGCACTCCACATTTTGCCAGGAAGATTCTAAAATGGTAGGGCTTTTTTGGATTTCTAGTATCTAACACAGTTTTAATTGTACTTTGTCCTTAACTAGTAATTTCAATTCTTGGTACTCATGTATTCTATAGCAACTTGTATATGTGTACAAAGATCTGTTTCTAAGCTTTGGTTTTGTAGTAAAAAAAAAAAAAAACAAGGTTAATAAGAACAATGTTAAGGAAATTGTGATCATCTGTTCTGTGGAATGTTGCAGTTGTTAAAAGTACCAGGAGATTTATGGTACTAATGTAGAAAAAATCTCCAACATGTATTGCTAACTGGAAGCAAGCAACCCATAAAACATTTACTATGATCCAGGGTGCCTGGCTGACTCAATTAGTGGAGTGTGTGACTCTTGATCTCAGGGTCATAAGTTCAAGTCCCACGTTGGGTATAGAGATTACTTAAATATAAAAGGTTTGGCAGGGGGAACCAGTATGATCCCGTCTATATGTTATTCCAAAAAATAAAAAGAAATTATACATCCCGTGGGGTGGTCTATGTGATTGGATGGAAATACACTAAAATGATCTGGAAGAATCCTCAGCCCAGTGGTAACAGTGGTAGTTTCTAGGGTGAGAGACTCTGAGTTTTTACTGCATGTGCTTCTATATTGCTTTTTTTTTTTCTCCATATCAAGCATATCTGCTTTTAGTCTGTTTTTTAAGTATATGTATTTTTTAAATATATACTTTAAAAAAAGTAGCCTAAGCTCAAATTCAGCATTAAGAATATGGAGTCATGGGACACCTGGGTGGCTCAGTCGGTTGAGCCTTCTGCTCAGGTCATGATCCCAGGGTCCTGGGATTGAGTCCCACATCAGGTTCCTTACTCAGCGGGGAGCCTGCTTCTCCCTCTGCCTGCTGCTCCCGTTGCTTGTGTGCTCTGGCTTTCTCTCTCCCTCTCACACATACACAAATAAATAAGTGAAAAACCTTAAAAACAAACAAATAAACAAACAAACATGGAGTCGTGGGGTACCTGGGTGGCTCAGATGGTTAAGCATCTGAGCATTTGGCTATGGTCATCTCAGGGTCCTGGGATGAAGCCCCATGTTGGGCTCCCTGCTCAGCAGGAAGTCTGCTTGTCCCTCTCCCTCTTCCCCTCCCCCTCAACACACACACTCTCTCTCTCTCTCAAATAAATCTTCAAAAAAATATGATGGAGTTTGCCATTATTTGAATCACAGCTCTAATATTTGTTAGTTTTGTAAACTTGAATAAACTTTATCCTTTCTGAGCCTCAGTTTCCCCAGCTGTAAGGTGGAGGTAATAATAGGGCTTCATGAACCATGGTTAAGATTGAAAAGCAGTAATGCATGTATACTGGTTAGCAAATTGCCTGTTTCACGAAAGCAAGCTGCTGATGTTGCTGCTTCTGTCTTCGCTCTGTATCTGAGGCAAGAGTGATATTTCATGTCACATGCATCTTTGGGAAAGGAGATGGTTTCTCCCTTAGCTGTCGTTCTGTCGTCCTGGTTGAACGAGAGCACCCCGTCCCACAGTTTAAGAACATGGCGTTATCCTGCCAGGGAAGCACTTGGGCCTCCATAGTTGTCCTTTCTTTATTGTCATCTTGACCCGGTTCTCGCATGTGAACTGACATACAGTCCCATCAAGCCTGCTCTAGGGAATCTGCACAATTTCCAGCCCTCTTGAATGCATGTGCCTCCTGGTTGCGGCAGGACACTGTTTCCCTGATGGATCCTTTCCAACGAGGTAGCAGTGGGCTGACATTCAAACTGACATCTGGTATAACCATCTCAGAAGTCTGAGCATAAGTCTGTCTTGTTCTTTTTCTGTGAAATCGTTCTTCCATCCACCAAGTCAAAAAGATTGGTTGCATGTTGCTTGCTACAGTACGGTGAATGAAGAATTATCTTGCCTCTTTCTCGTTTCAGCTGTCCCCAATCTCTTCATGCTGGAAACAGTGGATTCTGTGAAGTTGGCAGATAAAGTGAACAGTTCATGGCAGAAAAAAAGTTCTCCTGAAAGGTTAAAGGTTATGGTCCAGGTTAATACCAGTGGAGAGGAGAGTAAGTGACCTGACCTGAATTGTAGATTTTTCTTCCCCTTAGTATGGTTGAAGGTCTGGAAGAATGCCAGGCCTAAGAATCTGATAGCTAAGGGTCTAGAAGGAAATCACAGGCCTTTAAGTAGGCTGTTTCCTGTAGGATCTAGATGGCACAATGACCTCTAAGCCAGTCCACGTATAACTTGTGGTTTGTTAATTCTTCGTTTTTTGGTGGCCCAGAATAGGATAAGCCAAGAAGGGAACTGTAACTTCGATCTCCTGAAAATTCCTAGAAATCTGTCACTGCTGAAGGAGATAGCACAGTTACACGTGTAACACTCAGGTATTAAAAAAATTACTTAATGTTACATTAGGAGGGAAAAGAAGGAAGTCACCTGAGTGCCAGTTAATGAATACCTTTAAGGGGTTTGGGTTGAGAGTGTAATCTAGTGAATAGAGCAGGAGCTTTGAAATCAGACCTCGGGTTTGAGCTCCCGCACTTTCCAGCATTGTAACCTCAGGCAAGTTACCTAACCTCTCTGTACCTCAGTTTCCTTGGCGGACCATGATAATCACAGTAGTGCCTACGTCAGAGGGTGTTGTCAGGATTGAAAGTGGTAGCGTGGGCAGAGCTGCTGGCAGGGAAGCCTGTACATCTCACTTGTTAGCACTTGTTAACAGTAAGTGTTCACAGACGGGTCGTTTGCTTACGACCAGCAGAACCCCAGGATTTGCCAGACGGTGACATGAAGGAACATAATGCAGACTATCTTCCAGATAGGCCCTCGGGCCAGGCTTTAAATCCCAGTTGTGCAATTTCTAGTTGTGGGACCTTGGACAAGGCACTGAGCCTCCCTGTGCCTCAGTTTCCTCATTTTTAGAGTGGAGACAGTAAGAGTACTTATTGCCTAGTTACTGTATTAAGTGAAGAGCTCTTAGAACTTGGCACATGTGCCTGACACATAAGCGTTTTGTAAATTGTAACAATTTTTATTTCTTTACGCACCTAGATTATATATTATGTTATCAGTATAGGTATGTCTGAAACTGGCTCCAGGGGAAGTCTATGATAGCATTTCCTGATAATTGGCTATATTAGGCTGTAATTAAAGATTCAAGTGGACATTCGTAGCATCTCCATTTGATAAATGAGGGAAAGAGAACATCCATATTCCTTATAACGGCGTAACAAATCATCATTTACTACAGACTCCTCCTCCATTTGTTAATTAGCAAGTTCCATTAAATTTTACAAATACTTAGTGAAAACTGTGATACGTACTTTATTTTAAAATGTTTACAGCTCTAATAAATTAATGAAACAATAGATGTACCAGAGCTGGGAAAAGAATTCCCCAGTGAATCTTGCATTTTGACAGTGTGAGTCCTCTTGGTGTCCCAAGAAAGATAGTGTTTTTTTCTCTTCCCTCTGCTCTAGCTGTTCTCAGCGCAGATCACGGAGATTCAGATGATTAATACTCAATTCCTGACCAGAAGGGAAGCAACATAAACAAAGGCCACCAAAATAAAATTACTTTTTAGGTCTGAAGGATACTTTTTTTTTTTTTTTTCCTCTCCCAAGAAGCCCTCTAGCCCAAAAGTCACCTCCTTTTTAAGGAAGGGGTAGAAATGAAGCCTTCCTCTGGCTACTTCAGACATGTTGGTACAAGTGTCTTCTGTTCCTTTTTGTGAAGGTAAACATGGCCTTCTGCCTTCAGAGACAGTAGCCGTGGTGGAACACATAAATGCCAAGTGCCCCAGCCTGGAATTTGTGGGGCTCATGACCATAGGAAGTTTTGGCCATGATCTTAGTCAAGGACCAAATCCAGACTTCCAGGTACTGGGGGCCAAGGATGGGGGTATTGCTTGCATGTTAAGGAAGCATCTTAGTGAAATGCTGTTGCAAGGACAGGCTGTCATGATAAACTTCAGAGACATTGCCTGTCAGAGGTTATGACCCTCTGAATTCTTCTTGTAAGGGAAGAAGAAAATAAGTTTCCAAAACCTCACAGACCTTTCTCATCCCCACTTGAACCTGGCTAAAACACAGTCTTCAGAGAAAACCAGTTCTTTTCTTCCTTTTCCAATGGCTGATGATTTTGTTTTGTTTGGGGGGGGGGGCTTTTTTTTGTTTTTTTTTAAAGCAGGAGCATTTGCTAAAAAAAACTATTTCGGTAACTTCTGAAAATTTTGACAGGCCTTGAAACCACAAGGAATCGATAATCTTTGGCAGAGATGTTCAGATTCAGCCACTTTCAGGCATCCTTAGAGAAGGCAGGAATGAAATAAATGTCACACTTGTCTTTCTGTCAGGTGTTACTGTCCCTCCGAGAGGAGCTGTGTAAAAAGCTGAGCATCCCCACTGAGCAGGTTGAGCTGAGCATGGGCATGTCCATGGACTTCCAGCACGCTGTGAGTGTCCTCCTGGGGGCCTTTATCCGCCTCAAGGGGAGGGTCTGAAAGGCCACAGCAGGGAGTGGTTTTTGTCAGAGAAACCTTCAAAAATGCCTCATCGTAGCAATAGGGTCCCAAGTAGCAGTGGCTCTCGCCTGTTCCAGCATCCCCCACCCCCTTCTTTTTTGAAATAAATGTATGGAAATGATAGCTTTGACACATAGCTTTTAACTCAATACGATTCCCTGAGTGGATTCTAAAGAACGAAGAAGGGGCTCCTGGCTGGCCCAGTCAGTAGAGCACATGACTCTTTTTTTTTTTTTTTTTTTTAAGATTTTATTTATTTTATTTGACAGACAGAGATTACAAGTAGGCAGAGAGGCAGGCAGAGAGAGAGAGGAGGAAGCAGGCTCCCTGCTGAGCAGAGAGTCCGATGCGGGGCTCGATCCCAGGACCCTGGGATCATGACCCGAGCCGAAGGCAGAGGCTTTAACCCACTGAGCCACCCAGGTGCCCCGAGCACATGACTCTTGATCTTCGGGCCATGAGGTCAAGTCCTACAGTGGGTGTAGAGATTACTTAAAAATAAATAAAATAAAAATAAAATATTTATAATTTTCTAAAGTTTATTATATATGCTTTTTTGGAATAGTAAATAACTTGATAAAGTGCTAAAAATCAAAGTAGAAACTTGACTCTGTGCATCCAGTAGTTGCATTCTTGGAAAATCACATAAACCGAAACAGTGCAAAAATACTTTGTGTTTATAAGTATGATGGAATTCAATCCTGTGCTCAAAAAATCAGGAGGAGGTATTTTCTTTTTTTTTAATAAAGATTTTATTTATTGACTTGTCAAGAGAGAAAGAAAGAGAATAAGCACAAGCCGGGGAGCCACAGGCAGAGGGAGAAGCAGGCTCCCCACTGAGCAGGGAGCCTGATGCAGGACTCAATCCCAGGACCCTGGGGTCATGACCTGAGCCGAACGCAGACACTTAACTAACTGACCACCTAGGCGCCCCAGGAGGAGGTTTTCTCATCTGCCTAATCATGGAGCATCAGGAAGGGCTGTGGGCTGTGAGACCTGTCCATTGTGCCACCGTGTCTCAGTCAGAGTGTGACCTTTCACTCCAGCCCCAGATAAGCGGCAGTTGTCTTCCCTAATCATGGTGATAGCCATGGACAGGCTTACTGATTTCTCAAACACACCCTGGAGGTAGGATCATCCCAAGGTTAACCACTGCCCTGTAGCCCTCTTCAGCTGCGTTATCATCGTTCTTCATAGAACCCCTCATGAGCCACAGCGACAGGCATGGCTTCAGCATTGGCTGCCTTATTTCAAACTCGGCCCCAGTACTTTCTCTTCTTTCCCGCAGATTGAAGTAGGATCTACGAATGTCCGAGTAGGAAGCACCATTTTTGGAGAGCGAGATTACTCCAAAAAGCCTGCCCTGGACAAGTCGGCAGCCGACCTGAAGGCACCAATGGAGGTGGCGCAGGCGCACTGAGGCCAGGCACAGCCAGCAGTGGCGCATGGGCCGGGGCCGTCCAGGAGGACGAACTATGCACTCACTTGGATTTCCATCTCGATGTTCCCTTTGTTACAGCACAGCCGTGCTCTCCTTGTGACCCTCAGAGAGCGTGCTGATGATGACGTGTGTGGATGGAAACCATCTGTACTTAGTATCTCACTCAAGAAGTTCACTTCAGGTAGTGGCTTTGGATTGGATCTCAGAAATCCAGACATTTCTGCAGAACACATATCAAGTCAATAGCCAGGAATTGAGTTCAGTTTTGAATCTTGCCCAGGAAAAACAACCAACTCACGAATGCCTTCCCCTGGTTAAAATGTGGCCACTGATGCCTATAATCACCAGAGTGAGAGGGATTCGCATTTGTCGTCCCCTTTCATAGAAAATTCTCTTCACACAAACCCCTAGTGAGTAATTAATTGTCTTTGCTGCTCTGGAACAGAGTAATCGCTGTCCCCAGTTTTCACCCCACCCAGTAAATATTTATCCGTGCTCTGGAATGACCGTACAGGTGACTTCAGGAACTGGCTCAAGGCAATGCTCCAAACCCAAATCATGGCTCATGAGAGTTTATGGCTTTGGCCACCTTGTGGTATTGACCCTGAAAATGACAGAGGTAACATAATTGGGTTTGAGCCTTTCTAACATCCTCAAGAGACAGGGCTTTGAGCTTTCTCCCCTGGGCTCTCCAGTGAGGAAAATTTAATGCTGTGATTTCTTTTACACCATAATCCTCTTAATGGTGGTTTCTTATCAAAGACCAGTGAATCTCATCGCTTCCCAGAAATTCCTTGAAAGCCAGTTCAGGCTCACAGTTTCAACAAGGCCTGGCTTTGAGGTTCCCACCCCTGCAGAGCATTTTCCAGGCCCATCTATATATACCCTCCCCTCCCCTGCTGTACTGATAAGCCAGAATTTTGCAACTTCTTGGTTGTTAATAAAGTAGCAAGAGCTTCAAAAACTAGAAAGCACAATTCTCAGATACTCATAACAGTCTTTATTCAAGCCCCAGTCTTTTATCTCACGAAATAACTCCGAACCTGTTGCTACTGCTGAATGTAATTTTGTAAAACTTAAAACAATTATGATGCCTGTATTCTTTCAATCAGAGCTATATGATGTTTCAGAGTGTGTTAAATAAAAATGTGAGTTTGAATTATACCATCTGTTCCGATTACAAAGCAATTAAAGTATTTATTTTTTAAGACCTGGTGTAATGAGTGAGTCTAACAGGAGCGAGGCATTGGAGCCAACAGGGAGTCACTGTGCCCATCATTTGACACGGTGCCAGCCCAGCTTTAGAAGAGGACTTGCCCTGGCTCAGAGTTGCAGCCAAAGCCGCACCGTGGATGAGAGAAGAATTCTGAACTTCTAAAGGCAAGAAAATGAAATGTTGGCATTTCAGGAACCACAAAAGGAAAGCAGTCTTACTTACCTCTTGCCACAAGAACCTCTACTTTAGGTGGCCTCTAGGTGGCGACATTGGCTAACCTGTGGGCAAGTACTGGGGCTCCACCGTGCACATTTCTTGGGAGGGGGCCCTCACCCTGAGTCTCACACCTTCAGAGGGCAGGAAAGGAGGCCAAAGAGAACATCATTTTTCCAAGTGATAGGGCTGACTCTTGAAAAGCCACTAGGTTCTTCCAGATACCTCATTTCTTTGCTAACTGGATAGGGGTCCGAGGATGGCTGTGGAACTGGGAAAAGTGAACTTGTCTAAGCTTTTTAATAAAGAACTCTCCGGATTGTGCCTCCAGATTGAGAACAATGAAGGAGGCAAGCCAGAGGAGGCTGAGTCAAACCCAGATAAGGAAAGGAAACTAAAGTAGGTCTGTCCAGTGTTCCCACAATGGGCCAGGACCTTTGGCAAAGAGAAAAGCCAGCAAAATGGTGACTTTGATTTTTGGTACACGTGACAGGCAGCAGGTCGGAATCCTCCCAGATTTTCCTTAGATGGGTGATAGCATCCACAGCAAGTTCCTGAGTCACAACAGCACGCTGTTCTGGGACAGACTGACCATGTGGCCTAGCGTTCTCTGTCCCTGCCATCAGGCCCTTGGCTGCTTAGTAACAGCCTCAGAGGGTTCTGATGCTCAAAGGTTCCCAATCATCCAGCATGTCTTTGTCCTTGCAAACATCCTCAGAGATTCCAACCACTGCATCTCTTAATTACTCAAATCAACTCCCCTGTCCCTTTTATAAACATGCCTGGCCCGTACAGCACTCTCCCCTATATTCTTTCATTTTGCCCTCACAAAAGCTGGTGGGGTAATTTCGGCAACATACTGGCGTCCCTTTGTGGACAGGGCTCTGAGTCCCAGAGAAGGTTCTGTGCTCCTTTCCTGAGGTCCCAGTGGGTTGGTGACAGAATGAGAAACTCAAGGCTCTTAATTCCCAGTCTAGAGCTTCACTACACCATACCGGTATCTTCTGTCGCCTCAGGCGTATTATAACAATTGCCAAACAGCATATTCTTAGATGTATAGGTTTAAGTTAAGAGAAGTGTATTACTAAAACAGAAATGTATGTTTTTAGTCTATTATAATTGTTGAGAACTGACACATCTTTAATGCAGAACAAACTCTGAAACCGCAAGCAGTGGGGATGAGCAGGGAGGAGAGAATTAAACCCAGGCCGAGTGGAATTAGCCTCCCCCTTCTGTCATCCTGTTTCCCTAACACACACATTCCTCCCTGGATTCAAACTATCCCATGGGCTGCTGCGAGGCCCCGATCATGCCAAGCTGTGCCCTTTTCCCTCTAGAGCCAGACTGGCAGATGATTCTGTTCCCCGTGGCTACATGGGAGAAATGAGCTCAAATGGGCCATTTCCAAAACCCAAGACACCCCTGCACCAAAGCTCCAGACAGGAAGGACTCGCCCACCAATCAGAAGGGCTATGATAAGGGTGGGTGTCGGAGGCGGTACAATTGGAACCGATTTGCTCTGGGAACTGGAACCATCTTTACCATGAAATCAGTTGAATGCTATTACATCAGCCTTATGACTAAGGGCAAAAGAATCCGAACTGTCCACCGAGAAGCTTTATGAATTTGCCCTCTCCCCTCAAGAAGCATGTAGGTAAAGAAAGGGGCTTCCTTGTAGACACAGTCCTGTATCACCAAGCATCCACTGTGGCCCTGTGGAGTTGGGTGGCTAGTCACAGGGTAGGGGGGCCCTAACCTTCAGTTCCTCTCCTAAAATCCCTTCAAGGGCCCAAGGTACCTCAGAGCTCACACTCTTTTCCCTGTGAAGTCCAGGACAGATGAGCTGAAATGGAATATGCTAGGGACAAAGGGGTGGGGGTTGGGGGCACCTTTCAGGTATTTAAAAAGATGTTTTCTGAGCTCACAAAGGAGCAGAAGCCACCCCTTGGGGACCTGAGTGTCTTCTCCAAGCTGGGGCTCCCGGGGTTCCCCAGCACTCCCTGCCAGCGCCTGCCACACCCATGCCCCAGCCCAGCTCCCCTGCTCTCTGGCTCCAGAGCAAAGCCTGACCCAGCTGCCAATCTCCCAAATAAAATCAATCTGTGACCTTACTCACCAGCTGTACCGAAGAAACTAGCATAAACTAGGGCCAACTTTGAAGCCAAGAAGGGAAGATGAGAAGTTGGGAGAGAGAGAGAAAGAGGGGGGATAACTTGGCTGGACTTGAAAGGTGTCTTGTCTGTCTGTTCCCCATTAGGCGCAATTCTCTTGCAATCTGCAGCCTCGACATAATTCTCTTGACCAGAAACTCTCCAGAGAGTTAGTGTCAGAAGGAAAAACAAACAGAATAGCATCTCTGACAGCAAAGTCACTTAAAAACCTATTTGGGGGGCGGGGAGAAAAGAGATGTCAGCACATGGGGGAAGGCACTCCACAGTGGGCCATGTGTGGAGACGCACTTACTGGGGGACAGGACAAGGACAGGACCGGGAGCCCAGGCTGGGACAGCGCTGGGAAGGGAAGATCCCAAGTCCTCTATCCTCTGAGCCCCCGTCGAAGCTGAGGCGTTGTACTTCCTCTGGCCTTCTCACCTGTGCACCCAACACTAAAATCCACAGTGCTGGGCTCTTTGCAGCCTGGGGGTTGCCCCAAGAGGGATTGAGAAGGACTTTCTTTGGAAAATAAGTGGTCCCCTGTCCTGCCTCATTTTCCCATTCCTGACCATCCCCCTGACCCCCTCGAAGCAACAAAAGACCCAGGACCTAGCTCTCCCCTTAAGCTGGGAGCCAGATCCCAGGCAGCAAAGACCCTTTTCCCCAAGGCCCTTTGACCTGCCTTAGAGCCAAACCTCCTAGGGTGGGGGGAGGCAGGCCCCTCGTCTGCAGGAGTGGGGGTGGGGGTGTGGGGGTGTAAGTACCAGGGAGTGGGGGATACAGGGGATACAGGGCGGGAGAGGGCACGGCTCTGGGCTCAAGTTTCTGGGGCCAGCGTCCTGTTAGAGGAGAATGCTTTTTTTAAGGGAAGAAAAACTAATCAGAAGAAAGAAGCAAGAGCTTTTCCCTGCCTTTCGGACTTGTTTATTACTAGGATATCTGATTTCAGCAGAGGAAGCAGGCACCGAAGCAAGGTTTTTATTGGCTGTGAGCAAGAGGAATTCAGGGTTTGCCTCTGATTTGGCTTCCCCAGAACATGCAGTGCTGAAGAGTGCCCGCTGCTTTCAGGGAGTAGGTCGGGGCTCGGGGAGGGGGCCCCCAGAACTCCCACCTTCTGCAGGCTGACTAAAATTCCCCACGGAAGATGAGGGCCGAGCAAGGGGCCCCGCGTGGAAGGTGACTTCATAAACATTTCAGAGAGGAGAGCGAAATAGGGGACAAACGTTATGAAGACGTTTAGGGATTGGCTCCAGGGGGGCGCGAGTGCCCCCCTTTTCCGCGTGGGGACCTGGAGGAGGGCTGGCCTGGTTTGGATGAAAGCGCAGTGTCTCTAGCTGACAGAGCTGGGCGGGCTGAAGCCTCGGGGGCCGGGGCCTGATGGTTTCAATGTGTGGGGAAGATAAAGCCAGGATGTGCAGAGGCAGCCCCTGCCAACAGCTTTCCTCAGCTGGGCCGGCAGGCCTCGGGGGAGGGGATTACCAGCTGGGCCTCAGGCTCGAGGAGCTGCTGCTGATCCCCTAGGGCTTCCCATGGCTGCCTCCTCACACAGTCGCCAGGACTGCCTGCCTCCCGCTGGCCTCCAGAAGGGGATATCGCCTCCAGGGAGAAAGGGCGAGGGTGTCCCTCCATCTGGGGGCCCTCTGGAGGAGCCCAGCCATCTCCCTCTCTTCCTTTTTCCCCCTCTCTGCTTCCTCTTTCCAGCCACCTTTCCCTCGGGCCTCTCATAAACCTTGCCCCACAAATCCCAGGGAACAGGAAGAACCTTGAAGCTGAGATCTCGAAGAGTCCCCTTTCTTTGCTGTCCTACTTGACCCATCAGGAGCAGAGCCCTGCTGCTGAGGGCGAGGGGACTTGGAGAGAGGCCAGCCCCCCTGCCTGGGTATGTCTCTCTTCCAAGGCCTGGTTGGAGAGCCACCTTCTTCCTCCACCGGGGCGTGGGTCTCTGGGACGGGTCACAGGGCCCTCTCCCAGGCTGGGTGTGCTCCTGGAGCCGCGCTGTTGGCTGTCCCCAGCTGGCCCTGCTCACCTATGAGGCCCAGGCCCACTCTGGCAGCCAGTGTGCCACTGGGAACTTTGAACTGGGGCCCAGAGCCTGGGGGGTGGGGTGCGGGCTGGATGAACAGGGCTCTCACTGTGCAGGCTTCGAGGAGCCCAGGCTTCAAAAGACATCATGCAGCCCGTTCAGGACGTGCTCGCAGGGAGAGGAGCTGCAGGAGGAGTTAAAGCAGATGGCCTGCACGAGGGGCGGGGAGCTGCTACTGCGGGCAGGCACACACACCTGCACACGTGTGTGCCTGCTCACACACGCGTGTGCACACGCACACACAGCCAAAATGCTTGCTCCGAGACTCTGGCACCAGTCTGTCTGGGTTTGACCCCCACATCTGTACCTCACCAGTCAAATCGCCTCAGGCCAAAGACTTAAGCTCCTTCGTGCCTCGGTTTCCTCATCAGTAAATAGGGGAGATATTAAAAGTGACTGCCTCCTAGTGTTGTTGCGAAATTTAAATGCGATAAAGCGTGGGGGCCCCCAGGCGGGGTCCGTCCCTAAGAACCTGAAATTCTCCCATCTCAGCAGGGGTCTCAAGTTCAAGCCCCACGTGGCACGTAGAGATGACGTAAACATTA